CCTGAGAGGGCGCTGTGGCTCCCGCCTGTCATCCCAGCCCCTCCGGAGGCTGAGACTGGAGGATCGCTGCTGGAGGCCAGCGGGGGTAGAGAAGGCCGTGAGAAGTCAGGCCCCCTTGGCTCCCGCCTGTCATCCCAGCTCCTCAGGAGGCTGAGAGCTGAGGATCGCGGTTCAAAGCCAGCTCGAGCAAGGAAAGTCCGTGAGACTCTGATCTCCCATGAAGCACCAGAAAACTGGAAGTGGCGCTGTGGTTCAAGTGGTAGAGCGCCCGCCTTGAGCTGAAGAGCTCAGGGACAGCGCCCAGGCCCTGAGTTCAAGCCCCACAACTGACAAAAAAGAAAAGGAAAAAGCCCTGCTTGGGTTTGGATTTCGTTTGTTTGGGGTAGTTTTTTATGCCCTTCCTGGGGCTTAAACTCAGGGCCTGGGCGCTGTCCCTGAGCTTTTCTGCTCCAAGGCTGGCGCTCTACCACTTGAACCACAGCGCCACTAATGGATTTAGTTTTTGGTGGTTCATTGGAGTCTCACAGACTTTCCTACCCAGGCTGGCTTTGAACCATGATCCTCAGACCTCAGCCTCCTGAGGAGCTGGGGTGACAGGCGGGAGCCAGCTGCCCTGAGCTGTTTAGGCTTTTGGGGTACTTCTTCCCAGAAACACCTCCCCCCTGTCACCCCCAAACCACACGAGCCTGACACTGCTGAGCCCAGTGGAAACAGCACCGTCTGGCGAGGCTGAATGGGCCGAGTAGAAACCGGAAGTCCCGCCTGGCGCTGAGGGAGAACTTTCTGGCAACTTTCTTGCTTCTGCCTAAAGCAAGGTTCTTAACTCTCAAGTAAGAGCCAAACTGCAGTTTTCTGGAAGCTTCCCGAGTCTGTCTCCTGACCCCTGCCCTTTGCTGACTTGTTCCAACACTGGGATTTGAATTCGGGGCCTCCAGTTCTCCCTTGACTTTTTTCCTTCGTCGGTTCCAGGCTGGTGCTTTACTACTTGAACCACACCTCCACCTCTGGTTTGGGGTGGTGGTTCCTTGGAGACAAGAGTCTTGGGGATTTTTTTTCCTGCCTGGGCTGGCTTTGAACCACGATCTCAGATCTCAGCCTCCTGAGGAGCTGGATGACAGGCGGGAGCCACGGGTGCCTGGCTTCTCACGGCCTTTCTACCCCAGCTGGCCTCAAACAGCGATCCTCAGACCTCAGCCTCCTGAGTGGCTGGGATGACAGGCGGGAGCCATGGCGCTGGGGATAAATCTGACTTTATCTGTGGGCCTCTCCTAAGAGCGCCCTCCTCTGGTCTCAGCGTGTGGAAATATTTGGGGTCCTCTATCATTGATCACACCCCGTGTATTTCAGATCTACCTCCCGCAGAGGAGAGAAAACATGGCGCTGTTCGTGTCTCTGAGCAGGGCTGACCTCGCCGAACGTGATTTGTTCTGGGTCCTTCCATTGCTCTGCAAACCACACATCTATTCTTCTTTCTAATGACGAGGTAAAAATCCATTATATAGAGGTGCCACGTTTGGGGGTGAAAGGTTGAGAACAGAAAGATTCATTGGACTTGGCCAGAGAAGCGTGCCCCCACAGCCAGGGAGAGAAAAGGAAGGAAAGGCTGATGGCTGGGAGAGGGGCCGGGTCTGGGGTGACCTATCTAACCTAGGGGGTCCAGGAGGGGCTAGAAGGAGGAGACCCCAGTGTGGAGCTGTGGATTAGGGGTTCCACCATGGCTGCTGGGTGGTTCATTGAGAGCAGAGTCTCACAGAATGTCTGGCTTCAAAGCAGGATCCACACACATCTCTGCTTCCTTTGTAGCTGGGATTACAGGCGTGAGCTACTGGTCCCTAACATGCTTTCTGACTTCTGGGTTTCTTCCTTGCTGGCACTCTGTCTCTCTGTCTGTCTGTCTGTCTCTCATCCTCCCAACTACATTGTACTGTCTGCCCTGTTTCTTTTGTGTCTTAGTTGAGTTTAGTTATTTGTCCATTGTGGGGCTTGAACTCAGGGCCTGGGCGCTGTCCCTGTGCTCTTCAGCTCCAGGGGGGCGCTCTACCACTTGAGCCACAGCGCCACTTCTGGTTTTCTGGTGGTTCAATGGAGATCAGAGTCTCACGGACTTTCCTGCCTGGGCTGGCTTTGAACCGCGATCCTCAGATCTCAGCCTCCTGAGTGGCTGGGATGACAGGCGGGAGCCACCGGCCCCTGGTTCATATATATGGTTAATTGCATTCCAGCTCCTGTGTTGGCTTTCTGGGTGATGCGCATGCGCGCATGCACACACACACACACACACACACACACACACACGCCCCTGTCACCAACTTTGCCAGCTCTTTCTGCTCAGGCCTGGGTGCACACCGCCCTCTGGTGGCGGCCGCGGGTCACACACCCTCCTTGGAATGGCTGGGCATCTGGGGATTGGTGCGTGCGTGGTGTGCGTGGTGTGCGTGCAAGGCTCCATCCCCACCCCACCCCCCGCCCCCGGGCACAGTCACGTTTTGTGCAGCCGGCTGGAGAGGTGAGGAGCAATGCACGCTGCAGGAAATCCAGCCCCGGGCCCTGGCCAGATGACCCGAATGCGACTAAGGACAGAGCTGTGGAACAAAACACCACAAGACAGACAGGCGGACATTGGTCGGTCAGCCCCGGCTGTGGCTGCGGCCCTGATGGCCTGCCTGGCCTGTGGAGAGGCGCCCGCCCTGTCTCCTCCAGCCTCAGCGTCCTCTCCGTGTCAATGAGATCAAGGCTGGGCGCAGTAGTTCAAGCCTGTAATCCCAGCCACTTTGGGAGGCTGAGGTAGGAAGATCCCTTGAGTCCCAGAGTTCACCACTAGCCTTGGCAACACAGGGAGACTCCCATCTGAAAAGCAAACCACAAATAAATGCAATAAGAATCCACCAAGGCTGGGTGCAGTGGCTCACGCCTGTAATCCCAGCTACTCAGAGGCTGAGATCGGAGGATCCTGGTTCAAAGCCAGCCTGGGGTATAGGAGAATCTGTGAGACTCTGCTCTCCAATAAACCACCAAAAAACCGGAAGTGGTGCCGTGGCTCAAGTGGTAGAGCACCAGCCTTGAGCAAAAATCATCAGGGACAGCGCCCAGGCCCGGAGTTCAAGCCCCAGGACCGGCACAAAACAAAAAGAGCCAACCCAAATGGGCTGCTTTTGTTGTAGCCTTGCGCTGGTGGCTCCCGTGTGTCATCCTAGCTACTTGGGAGCCTGAGAACTGAGGATCCTGGTTCGAAGCCAGCCCAGGCAGCAAAGTCTGTGAAACTCTTATCTCCAATGAACCAGCAAAACCCTGAAGTGGAGTTGTGGCTCAAGTGGTAGAGCACCAGCTTTGAGGGGAAAAACCACCCACAAAACTAGCGAGTGCCAGAGGCCCCGAGTTCACGCCCCAGTCCTGGGAAGAATTTCTTTTTTAGTTTTTGGGTCAGTACCGGGGCTTGAACTCAAGGCCTTCTGCTGCTTTGTGGCTTTTTTTTTTTTTACTCGTCTGGTGCTCTACCGCTTGAACCACAACTCCATGTCTGGCTTTTGGCTAGTTCCTTGGAGGTAGGCGTTTCACAGACTTCCCTCCTGGGCTGGCTTGGAACTTCGATTCTCAGATCTTAGCCTCTTGTGTGGCCGGGACTACAGGTGTGAGCTACGGTGCCCGGCTAAACCTGAGACATGACCGCCACCACCGCACACAGAAGAGCCGGGGAGGGGCGCGGGAGGGGGCGGGGGTCTCCGTGCTGGGTGCTTTGGAAGGAATGGGGGTCAGGCTGGGGTGGGGTTTGCTCTGCTCAGGGGCTGACAGTTTGTTTGTGGGGGTGCAGGTGTCAGCTGCGAAGCCCAGGCTCTGCACTCCCTGAGATCACCCCCAAACCTCCATGAGGATTTGCAATCCTGGCCTCCTTCCCCCCCCCCCCCCCCCACAGCCCACGGTGACCTTTGAACCAGAGTCCCAGCCAGGTCTCCTGGCTGGCTCTTTCTTTCTTCCAGGAATCAGCCCCTGACCTCTGACCCCCTCCCACCTCGACTCCAGGCCCCGCCCCCCAGCTCTCTGGGGTGTGCAGCCGCAGATGGTTCTAGAAAGGAGGCCAACTCAGGCCTGCACCTGGTCCCTCGGCTTCCCCCTCCTTCTTGGCTAAACTGCCCTCCATCTCTCCTTCTAGCCCTTCCCCCTGCCCACTGAGGCTGGCGGCTCTCTGGACCCCGTCTTGTACAAAGAGCCGGGCACGGGCGCTCACATCTGTCATCCCGGCTACTAGGAGACTGAGATCTGAGGATCGCAGTTCAAAGCCAGCCCGGGCAGGAAAGTCCATGAGACTCTGATCTCCCATAAGCCACTCAAAAAACCAGAAGTGGCGCTGTGGCTCAAGTGGTAGAGCACCCGCCTTGAGCTGAAGAGCTGAGGGACAGCGCCCAGGCCCCGAGTTCAAGCCCCACGACCACCACCACCACCAACAATAATAATACAAAAGTATATTTTAAATGCTTTCGTTTTTTCTTTATTCATTTTTGCGGTGCTGGGCATGGAACCCAGGCTCCCAAGACTCCACCACTGAGCCTCATTGCCAGCTTCTTGTTTATTTGCCTTTTTTTCCCCTGTATGCAGGTACTGAGACTTGAACTCAGGGCCTGGGCGTTGCTCTCAAGCTGGTGCTCTACCACTTTCTCCACAGCTCCGCTTCTAGTTTCCTGGTAGTTCACTGGGGATCAGAGTCTCACAGACTTTTCCTGTTTTGAACCGTGATCCTCAAATCTCAGCCTCCTGAGTAGCTGAGACTACAGGCGTGAGCCACGGTACCCGGCCAGATTGTCATTCTCTGGGCACCCCACACTCCACGCTGCTGTTTTGACTCGGATGAAGTGTTCTTCTGGTGGACAGTCTTACTCCGACCACTTCCCTTAGAGCTCAAGAGTTGGGGTGGGGGGAGGGACCCCAGCCCCAGGTGGTGACGTAGAAGCCGGCCTTTGAGTCTCGCTCGCCAGCTTCCTGTCTGTGTGCATTCTTCTCTCCTGCAGAAGTCACGGCAGCCTCTCCTCCTTGGGGTGAGAGGCTGCACAACTCAGCCCTGGGTGAGAAGTAAGACCGAGGAAGAGCAAGCCCAGAGGTAAGAGGGGCTCTGTCCACTGTAGAACTTTCTAGAAAAGGGGGTACCAAGATGGCGGTCATCAGCTGCACTGGAAATTAGCCATGACTTACTTTCTTTCCTTCCTTCTCTTCCTTCCTTCCCTTCCCTCCCTCCCTCTCTCCTTCCCTTTCTTCCTTTCTTCCTTCCTTCCTTCCTTCCTTCCTTCCTTCCTTCCTTCCTTCCTTCCTTCCTTCCTTCCTTCCTTCCTTCCTTCTTTCCTTCCTTCCTTGTGTGTTCTGGTCCTTGGGCTTGAACTCAGGGTCTGGGCGCTGTCCATGGAGTTTTTTTTCCTACTCAATCTCGTGGACTTTGCCTGTCCAGGCTGCCTTGGTGCCGCGATCCTCAGATCTCAGCCTCTTGAGTAGCTGGGATTACAGGCGTGAGCACCAGCGCCCGGCTTTTTTCCCTTCTTTTTTGTCCTGAGTAGTGATCGTCCATCGCCACCGTGAATGAGCTTGAGATCACGGCCTACTCCACCCTCTCCGCTGAAATGGCGAGATGGGTGAAGGAAGGTTCCAGAAAACCAGTGGAGGGGAGGTAAGAGCCGATGCAGTAGAAGAGGGAGAAAGAGAGGCGAGGAAGGGAGGAATTTGAGAAAGAAGAAGTTGGTATTGACAGCAGGAGAGCAAGAAGTAAGAAATGAACTCAGGAAAACAGAAGGAATAAAAAACAGCAAGAAAACAAGAGCTATCAGGGAGCTGAGTCTCCCCAAAATCAAACCCTTTGCTGCTGACGCCCGTATTCATTCCAGGCATTTTGGGGCCCGTGTGACTTGTTTTCTCGTACCTTCTTTCCCCTGTTTTGGTGAACCCTCAGGAGGCTTTGATTTGTGTTTTGTGTTGTTGGAGGGACAAAGTCTGGTTACACTGTCCACCCCGGAGCCCTTCCTGCCTCAGTTTCCCTCCCAGTAGCTGGGACTTCAGGCATGCCCTTCCCCACGGGGCTTGGCCTACAATGTAGGCTTGGGGAGACGTTTGTTCATGGGAACACGCTGTGGCTTTAGTGAGCTTTGCCTTGAAGAGAATGTCCAAAGCAGACATCAACCAGAGACCTGCAGCGAGGTCTAACATTGCAACGCTGAAGTCACTAGGAAATATGAAGCAGTGTGTGTGTGTGTGTGTGTGTGCGTGCGTGTGCGTGCGTGTGTGCGTGTGTGATCAGAAATAGTGACTTGATAGAGAATTGATTTCTAAGTGTTCCAAGAGTCTCTGGGAGGATCACAAAATAATTCTCAGATCTCTCTGTCTGTCTCTGTCTGTCTGTCTGTCTATCTGTCTATCTGTCTCTGTCTGTCTGTCTCTGTCTCTCTCTCTTTTTCTCCTTGTCTATATGCTGGGCCTGGGGTTTGAACTCAGCGCCTGGGCCCTGTCCCCGATCTTTGGCGCTCAAGGCTAGTGCTCTACCACTTGAGCCACGGCTCCACTTCCAGCTTTTTGCTGATTTATTAGGAGAGGAATTGGCAATTAACAGTCTCCCCGACTTTCCTGCCCGGGCTGGCTTTGAACCGTGATCCTCAGATCTCAGCCTCCTGAGGAGCTGGGGTGACAGGCGGGAGCCGCCGGTGTCTGCCCTGCGCATTCTCAGATTGTGGTGGGATTGGGGGAGATTTCCCTGAGCTGGGGGGCCTCTACTTTCCTGCCCCCGCAGCCCCAGCCATCCCCCCTTTTCTGAGATGCCCTGCCCTGGAAGCCCTGTTCAGTGTTTAGACTTATTCTGGTGATTGATTGGGAGTGGGAGGGGGAGAGGGATCTTTTCTAGAATGTTCTATGCCTCAGGACATTTTGTAAGATCATGAAGCTGGGACACGGGCAGGGAGTCTTTGGTTTTTCTAGAATGTTCTATGCCTCAGGACATTTTGTAAGCTGGGACACGGGCAGGGAGTCCTTCCTGGTTCTGATCACGTCTGGAGCTGTGGACAACACAAGATGGCCGCCGTTTTCATCAGGGAAATGGGCAGGCTCCCAGGGGCCCAGGGGAGGTGGCGTGCGAGGTTCAGTCTGGGGACACTTACAGGAGAGCTCTCCCCCAAACTCCAGTGCTCCCCACCCCCTCTGAGGAGCCCCGGGGGGCCCGTGCTGGTCCTCAGTCACCTGAAATTGCCCAGGGGGGTCTGTGACACTTTAAATCACTCCATGAATAAATGTGCGTTGACCCAGCCGGGCGCTGGTGCGCACACCTGTCATCCCAGCTCCTCCGGAGGCTGAGATCGGAGGATCGCAGTTCAAAGCCAGCCCGGGCAGGAAAGTCCGTGGGACTCTGATCTCCACTGAACCATCAAAAAGCTGGAAGTGGTGCTGTGGCTCAAGAGGTAGAGCGCCAGCCTTGAGGAAAAAAGAAAAAAAGAAACAAAAACTCAGGGATGCTTATAGCTGGGGTTTTGTCTGCTGGTTTTCAAGGCCTAAAAGTTGTGTTCTGTGGGTACCCTCTTTTCTTTGGGGGGGATGGGGAAGCGGGGGAGAGACCCCCTCTTCTGGACATGTAGGGCGAGGAGCGACGTTGGTACTGCTTGTAGTCACGGATCTGAAGGGTCCCTCGGAAGCTGAGGTCTCTAGGAAGCGGGTTAGCAACTGGGGGTATGTGGGGCTGCGGCAGAGACCGCGTCTGGCCTTGAGCAGGTTGACTTAGGGGGCCCGGCGGGGGAAGATCACAGTGTTGGGGGACCACAGCTTGGCACTGCGGTGGGTCTCTGCCTGCCTCGCTTTTGCTCAAGAGCTAAGGGGAGGGGCAGGGACCTCCTGGGGGGGCCTGGGAGAGCGGGGTGTGTGTGTGTGTGTGTGTGTGTGTGTGTGTGTGTGTGTGTGTGTGTGTGTGTGTGTGTGTGGTTGCTCTGCTCTTTGTCTCTAGGTTTCTTGCCTTCTAGAATTTTCTAGAACTTTGTGTGTATGTGCTAGTCATGGGGCTTGAACTCAGGGCCTGGGCGCTGTCCCTGAGCTCTTTGGCTCTACCACTTGAGCCACAACCCCACTTCTGGCTTTTTTTTGGGGGGGGGGGGCTGGTTCACTGGTGATAAGAGTCTCTCAGACTTTCCTGCCCAGGCTGGCTTCGAACTGTGATCCTCAGATCCCGAGTAGCTGGGATGACAGGCGGGATTCACCAGCGCCCGGCAGAAAAGGTGTTTTGTTCTTTTATTTTTATTTATATTTTTCTGCCAGTGCTGGACTTGAACTCAAGACTGGTGCTCTAGCGCGTAAGCCACAGCTCCACTTTTAGCATGTTGATGATTACATTTTAAAAGAAGAGTCCTATGCCTAGGCTGGGCAGGTGGCTCCGTGGTAGAGTGCTCGCCTAGCATGCGTGAAGCCCTGGGTTCGATTCCTCAGTACCACATCCACAGAAAAAGCCAGAACTGACGCTGTGGCTCAAGTGGTAGAGCGCCAGCCTTGAGCCAAAGAATCTCAGGGACAGCGCCCAGGCCCTGAGTTCAAGCCCCAGGACAGGCAAAAAGAAAAAAAAATGTCCTCTGATCTTTCCTGCCTGAGTTGGCTTTGTACAGTGATCCTCACATCTCAGCTTCGTTGGGAAGCTGGGATTACAGGGGTGAGCTACTGTCCTGGTGGCTGTTACTTTAATGAGCCTCTCTCTCTCTCTTACTCCTTCCCTGTCTGCCCCCATTCTCTCCTGAGACGTGTGTGTGTGTGTGTGTGTGTGTGTGTGTGTGTGTGTGTGTAAATCTGTCCACCCTTGTCCTTCTGTCCTTGCTTACCCTGCAGACATCTCCTGCTTCAGTCTCTCAGCCCTGGGCCCTGATCAAAGCCTGCTGAGACCTGGCTTTGCCAGCCCCGACAATCTGTTTACAGAAGGATCTAGATCTTTGCAGCTGCTAGAGAGGGAGAGGAGGGAGAAGCTGGGGTCAGCCACCATAACTTTTGCACACACAGGCGGCTGGAACACAGCCACGCCAGAGAGTTCCAGAAAGATCCAGATGGCAACAGAGAAATTAGCAAGGGTGGCGTGGGGGAGACTTGAGGATTTTTTTGGGGGGGGCCAGCTTCCCCCCCAGCCTCTCCCAGGGGCGGGAGAGTAAGCACGAGGCCGCTGGGGCCTCGTTTGCCGCCTCTCGGGAGGCTGACGGTGGAGGAATGAAAAACCTTGATCTCAAAGACAGCAGCGGAAACCGAGGCAGCAAAGGAGCTGCGGCTGCGAAACCACAGCTCCTCCACAGAACCCAGGGTGTGTGCTGAGCTGGGGTTACGGCTGGAGGGAGGGAGGAAGGGGTGCGCTGTCCCCACCCCACAAATGTGGAGAAGCAGGGTTCCGTCATGGAGTGGAGGGGGAGGGTCTGGCCCGCTCTGCGCCCCAAGGCTGCAGCCAGCCCTGGAGGGGGGCTTGAGGCCTGAGCACCCCCTTCTCCACTCCCCTCCCCCCACCCTGCCTCCATTTCTCTCAGGACCAACTGTCTTTTTTTTTTCTGGTCAGTCGTGGGATTTGAACTCTGGGCCTGGGCGCTGTCCCTCAGCTCTTCAGCTCAAGGCTGGCGCTCTACGACTTGAGCCACACAACCCCACTTCTGGTTTTCTGGGGGTTCACTGGAGATCAGAGGCTCATGGACTTTCCTCCCCAGGCTGGCCTCGAACCACAATCCTCAGATCTCAGCCTCCTGAGGAGCTGGGATTGCAGGCGGGAGCCACCAGCGCTCAGCATGACCAACCGTCATGGCTTGTAAAGGTTTTTCTTCTCCTCCCTCCCTTCTTCCCAGCAATCTCCTTCCTGAGCTCTTTGCTTACTGGTTTCCTGGCAGGAACAAAATGCTACATTTATCTGTCTACACATCTGTCCATCTGTGTCGATCTGTTCATCCATCCATCCATCAGCCATCAAACATCACCCGGCATCCACCAAGCACACATTTATCCATCAGCCATCCATCCATCAACCACCCACCCATCCATCCATCCATCCATCCACCAACCACCCATCCATCAGCCATCAACCATCAACCACCCATCCATCAGCCATCAACCATCAACCACCCATCCATCCATCAGCCATCAACCATCAACCACCCACCCACCCACCCATCCATCCATCAGCCATCATCTATCCATCCACTAACCACCCATCCATCCATCCATTATCGATCATCTATCCATCCATCCATCAGCCATCATGCCTCAACCGCCCATCCATCCATCAGCAATCATACATCAACCACCCATCCACCCACCCACCCATCCATCCATCCATCCATCCATCCATCCATCCATCCATCCATTCATCTATCCCTCCATCCATCAGCCATCATCTATCAACCACCCACCCATCCATCCATCAGCCATCATCCATCCATCCATCCACCAACCACCCATCCATCAGCCATCATGCATCAACCACCCATCCATCCATCAGCCATCAGCTATCATGCATCAACCACCCATCCATCCATCCATCCATCCATTCATCATCCATCCACTCTCAATTATTCATCATCCATTCATCCATCCACCATCCACTTGTGTATTCATCTGTCATCTATCCATTAACCACGCATCCATCATCAATCATAAATTCATCCATCCATCCATCCATCCTCTATCCATCCATGCATCCATCACCCACCCATCCACGCATGCACGCCTCCATCCACCGGTCACCCATCCACTCACCGTTCATTCATCCATCCGGCCATCCCCAGGCGGCTCATTCCCGTCCTCCCAGCTGCTCAGGAGGCTAGGATATGAGGATCGCGATTGGAGGCCAGCTCTGACAAGGAAGTCCTTGAGTCTTATCGTTAGCAACAGGGAGGAGAAAGAACAGGGGAGGAGCGTTTTTTGGGGAACGGCGAGGGGCAGCCGCCTTCCTGTGGGAACGGGGATTGTGTGGAAGGGTGGGGTTGGAGTCAGGCTGGTATTGACCTTAATGAGGAGACTGAGCTAAAACACCAGGCTGTGGTCTCTTGGGGGCCCAGAAAGGACCGTTCTGTCCAGGGTGCGGGAACGTGCGGCCAGGCCCATGTGGGAAGGACCTGCCCGTGGTCATCCACGCAGATGTGGTGTTTTGCTTGACCTGGGGAGATAAAGGGGGGATCCTTCACTGATCTCCAAGGAACCTGTAAAAAGCAGAAGTAGAGCCGTGGTAGAGAGCCAGCCTAGAGCGAGAGAGCTAAGGCGCTGAGTTCAAGCCCCAGGACTGGCACACTTTGCAAGAGTGCATGCACGCGCACACACACACACACACACACACACACACACACACGCACTGGCCACAGTCAGTGGAACGTGGATAGAGTTACATAAATGCTTCAGGATGACCTCGCTCTCTCCAGACAGGCCAGGATTGAGTTAAGATTGCCACACATCCCTTCATCTACATGTCTGTCTGTCTGTCTGTCTTGGCTATCTACCTATCATCTATCTACTTACCCATCTGTCTGTCTGTCTACCTATCATCGATCTGTCCGTCTACCTATCATCTATCTATCTGTCTATCATCAATCTATCTTCCTATCTATCTACCTGTCATTTATCTGTTGGTCTTGTCCATCTAGCGATCATCGATCATTGATTGACCTACTTACCTACCTAGCATCTATCTATCTATCTATCCATCCATCTATCTATCTATCTATCTATCTATCTATCTATCTATCTATCTATCTATCTATCTATCTATCTATCTATCTATCTATCTATCTATCTATCCATCCATCCATCCATCCATCTATCTATCTATCTATCTATCTATCTATCTATCTATCCATCCATCGTTTTATCCATCTCTGCTCTATTTATCAATTCATCATCCCTCCTGTACCTATCTACATCTAGCTACCAACTATTTATCTTCCTATCTACTTGCCTGCCCGTCTGCGCACTTCCAGCGGCTGATTTATTTATGCCTTCGCTCTCTCGTGTGGGGAAGGACTGGGCCTAGGCCTCGCCCGGGAGGATCCAATTTTAGAAACAGAATGAATGTGCTGAGTACAGAAGTGCAGGGCTTTCTCCAGAAGGTTCCATGAGGAGGCCTCGTCCTGGCGTCAGGCCTGCGGCGCCCGTGGCCATGCCGTGTCCTTCCTGCCCCTGTCGGGGAGAGATGGAAACCTCGACCGTAATTCAAAGGGGGAGAGAGGAAGGCCGCCCAGGACCAGGGGGACAGGAAGCTGGAGGGCGGGGCTAAGGGCTGGTGGATTGACAGCTCCATGCACCAACCAGTACGGGAGAAAGCTCAAGCTAGTGCCTGAGTTCAAGCCCCGTGACTGAAAACATCCATGTTTACCGTGTGTGTGTGTGTGTGTGTGTGTGTGTGTGTGTGTGTGTGTGTGTGTGTGTGTGTGTGTGTTGAACTGACTGAGCTTATTTTCACTTAAGGTTGGTGTTCTACCACTTGAGTCACGGCTCCTCTTCTGGCTTTTTGCTAATTCATTGGACATAAGAATCCCATGGGCATTCTTACCTGTGCTCCAAACTTCCATCCTCAGATCTCAGCCTCCTGAGTAGCACCTCATGATTTTTCTTCCTCTTCCCTTCCTCCTCCTCCTCCTCCTCCTTCATCCCTTCCCCTTTCTCCCCTCCCCCTTTCTATTTGTTGATCCTGGGCCTTGAACTCAGGACCAGGGCACTGTCCCTGAGCTTTTCTTTTACTCAAGGCTAATGCTCTACCACTTGAAGCATCACTCTGCTTCTGGCTTTTGTGTGTGTGTTGGTCGTGGGCCTTGAACTCTGGGCCTGGGCGCTGTCCCTCAGCTCTTCAGCAAAAGGCTAGCGCTCTACCACTTGAGCCACAGCGCAACTTTCCTTTGCAAGTTCAGATCCTGATGAGTCTGACCCCTGCTTACCTCAACAGGGCCACCATGAAACAAAGACTCGCGCTTGCAGCCTTGTTCTTGGCGCTTCTGTTCGGTGAGTGCCCACACTTGGGTTCTGGGTAGCGGCTGGGGGCTGGTGGGAAAGTACAAAGGTAGGGCGTGGGGTGCAGGTCAGGCACCAGTGGCTCACGCCTGACATCCTGGCTACTCAGGAGGCTGAGGCCTGAGGATCACAGTTGGAGGCCAGCACGGGGAAGAAAACTCCAGGAGACTCTTATCTGGGATGAACCAGCCAAAAAAAGAGCTAGAAGTGGAGGTGTGGCTCAAATGGTAGAGCACCAAGCCTTGAGGGAAAAAACTCAAAGGACAGCATCCAGGTCCTGAGTTCAAACTCCAGGACTGGCACTAATAATAATAATAATAATAATAATAATGTGTGGGAGTTGGCAGCGACAGCCCGGAGGCCTGACCAGGGTTTTTTTTCCTTTCTTCTCCATGCAGCAGTGTTCCTGGCGGTGGGCGAAGGGAAAGAACTGGTGTTGGGAAAAGCGGGGCAGTCGGTGGAACTGCCCTGTCAGTCTTCTCTGAGGAAGAATATGCAATTCATCTGGAAACACACAAACCAGTCCAAGATTCTAACAGCAGCTAAGTTTGGCCTAGTGAGTCGAGGTAAGTGCCCCCCGCCCTCCCCAGGCAGAGAAGCTGATTTTGGTCAGTCGTGGGGCTTGAACTCAGGGCCTGGGCGCTGTCCCTCAGCTCTTCAGCTCAAAGCGGGCGCTCTACCCCTTGAGCCACAACGCCACTTCCAGTTTTTTGGTGGTTCATGGGAGATCAGAGTCTCACGGACTTTCCAGCCCGGGCTGGCTTTGAACTGTGATCCTCCCATCTCAGCCTCCCTGAGTAGCTGGGATGACAGGCGTGAGCACCCATGCCCGGCTGTCGGCACGGCTCTTAACAAAGGCAGCCGGCTCAGCCAGGCACGTGAGCCTGTCGGATCTGATTTGTCCCCTCAGGTCACCGGGATTGGCACCGTCGCTTTGACTCAAAGAAAAACCTGTGGGATCAAGGATCGTTCCCGCTCATCATCAGCGAACTGGAGATGAGGGATTCAGACAGCTACATCTGTGAGGTGGAAAGGGTGGTCACGGAGGTTGAGCTGCAAGTGTACAGATGTGAGTATGCATCTGTCCCCAGGGGGCAGCCCTGCCCCGGCCCGGCCCTGAGCCAATCAGATTGTGTCCCTTTCCCTAGTCAAGTGTGTGCGTGTGTGTGTGGGGGGGTGGGTGGGACTTGAACTCAGGACTTCGAGTTCTTACCTATCTTTTGGTTTTTGTCAGTTGTAAGGTTTGAACTCAGGGCCTGGGCGCTGTCCCTGAGCTCTTTTTGCTCAAGGCTGGCGCTCTACCCCTTGAGCCACAGCGCCACTTCCGGTTTTCTGGTGGTTCCTTGGGGAGCAGAGTCTCAGAGTTTTTCCCTGGCCAGGCTGGCTTCGAACCTGCCGTCCTCAGATCGAAGCTTCCTGAGTGGCTGGGATGCCAGGCGTAGCCACTAGCGCCCGGCTCAAGCCAAGTGTTCCTTCCACAGTGACTCTCAGCCCGGAGTCTCCCGTGATGCATGGCGAGACCCTCACCTTGACTCTGGAGACACCCCCAAACACGAACCCCTCCGGCCAGTGCAGGAGTCCCCGGAACCAAGTGATGCGCTTGGACAAGGTGCTCACGCTGCCCAAGGTGGACGTCTCGCAGAGCGGCAGATGGACCTGCACCATCTCCCAGAAGAACAAGGAGCTGCAGTTTGACCTGGACATCCGGGTACTGGGTAAGAGGGGCAGGGCGCCCCCGGCCCCTCCCCCGGCCTGGCACCCCGGCTCCTCCTGCCTCTGATGTGGAGGGATTTGGGCTGCGTGCTGATCCCTGGAGCTCAGGTCTGTCCCGGGGGGGTCCCACCTGGCCCTTGTATTCAGGCAGGACTTGAACTCAGGGCCTGGGTGCTGTCCCTGAGCTCTTCAGCTCAAGGCAAGCGCTCTACCCCTTGAGCCACAGCGCCACTTCGAGTTTTCTGGTGGTTTATGGGCCATCAGGGTCTCATGGCCTTTCTTGCCCTGGGCCAGCCTCAAACTGTGATCCTCCGATCTCAGCCTCCTGAGTAGCCAGGATGGCAGGCGTGAGCTACAGCATCCCGCCTCCCTGCTTCTGTTTGCTGTACTGGAATCCCCTCCTCTTCCGGTCCTGGCCTCAGTGGCCCCTCCTCTTTCAGTCCAGGCCTCATTCAGGGTGTGAACCACGATCCTCCCTTTCTTCCCACCCGCCCAGGTTTTCTCCAGATGGTGGACACGGTGTACAAGGCTGAGGGGGAGCCAGTGCAGCTCTCTTTCCCGTTTAACATGAATGACGAGAGCCTGAACGGCGAGCTGAGGTGGCGGGCCGAGGGGACATCTGGGTCGCAGTCCTGGCTCACCTTCTCCTTGAGAAGCGGGAAGCTGATGAACATCACAGTCCCCCAGGACCCCAAGCTGCAGGTGCCTGAGAGCCTCCCCATCCGGGTCCAACTAGCCAAAGCCCAGCCGAAGTACGCCGGGTCTGGCAACCTGACTGTCAAGCTTGCTAGAAGAACACTGAGTCAGCCCTTGAATCTGGTGGTGATGACAAGTAAGGGGCGGGCTGCTGGGGAGGGCAGGGAGGGGGGGACCCACTGCCTGAGTGAAGAACCCCTTGGGGTTTGCGATCAATGCCCCTGTACCTTAAAATTACTACACGTGTTAAAGTGTCTAATGTTGCTAGCTGGGCGTGGTAGCTCATGCCTGTAATGCCGGCTACCCAGGAGGTTGCGATGTGAAAAATCAGAGTTCAGAGCCAGGGTGCGCAGACAAATCTATGTAATGCTTATCTCCAATTGGCCACCAAAAAGGTGGGGAGTGGGAACTGTGGATCAAGTGGGAGAGCACCTGTTTTGAGCGAAGCAAAACAGAAGAAAAAGAACTAAACACAACAAAGCTCTAGGCAAAAGCACGAGGCCCTGACTTCAAGTTCTATATTAAAAAAATAAAAAGTAATCCTCTAGCTACTCGGGAGGCTGAGATCTGAGGATCGTGGTTCAAAGCCAGCCCAGGCAGGAAAGTCCGTGAGACTCTGATCTCCACTGAACAACCAGAAAACCGGAAGTGGCGCTGTGGCTCAAGTGGTAGAGCGCCAGCCTTGAGCGCAAAAGTTTAAGGACAGTGCCCAGGCACTGAGTTCAAGCCCCAGAACCTGCAAAGAAAGAAAAAATGAAAGAAGGGGGGGGGGTAGGAGAGGGAGGAAGGGAAGCAAAGAAAGGAGCAAAGGAAGAAAAGATAGAAAAAAGAAGAAGAAGAAGACGACAACCTCTCTGGTTTGGGGCTGGTTTATTTGCTTTGTTTTTTGGTTTGTTTTTGTGCCAGTCTTGGGGCTTGAATTCAAGGCCTGGGTGCTATTGTTGACCTTTTATTTTGCTCCCAGCTAGCATTCTACCACTTTACCACTTGAGCCACAGCACCACTTCCCGCAGCTTCTTCGTGTGTGTGTGTGTGTGTGTGTGTGTGTGTATGTGTGTGTGTGAGAGAGAGAGAGACAGGCGTCCGCAATTACCTGGAGATAAGAGTTTCACATACTTTCCTGCCCAGTATGGCTTCATCATGATTCACGTCTCTGAGACTTTCCAAAATGACCTGCAAAAAGCTGGGCTGGAGGCATGGTCCAAGTGGTAGAGCGCCAGCTGAGCAAAGCAGCTGAGTGAGCCTGAGGGTTTGATTTTTAAATCCAGTACTGCCAAATACAATAGTAATAACAACAACAACAACAATAATAATGTTCTAATGAATCTAGTGAACTTCAAGACACTGGGAGCCCCAAGATCCAGGCCCCAGGACTCAGTGTCACCTTTTTTTCCAGTGGCCCTGCAGGGGCGCCATCTTGTCTGCAGGGTTCTGGGACCCGTCTCCCCAAAGCTCCACCTGAGCCTGCATCCGGGTAACCAGACGGCCAGGGTGTCAAAGCAGGAGAAGGAGGTGCGTGTGGAGGACCCAGAAGCAGGATTGTGGCAGTGTCTCCTGAAGGACGCAGCCAAGGCCCTGCTGCAGGCCCAGCTTGAGGGTAAGAACTCCGGTTCCCGGCCTCGGCCTTACCTGTGGGACCTTTCTGGAAAGAGGCCCAGAAAAGTCCGGATCTCCCAATTCCTGGGAGATGCAAGTGTTCATGGGTGGTGGCCTGGGGGGGGGTGTCGGGCTGCGGGTCCCCGCTTCTAATCCTCCGAGTTCTTCCTCCCTGAGATCCACAGCCAAACACCTGTGGATCGCCCCCAAATTCAGACACAGAGCTGCACACGTGGCTCCCGCCTGTCATCCCAGCACTCAGGAGGCTGAGATGGAGGATCAGGGTTCAAGGCCAGCTCTGGCGGGAAAATCCATGGGACTCTTCAGTTAATCACACACACACACACGCACACGTATGCACACACACGAACACGCATGCACACACACGCACACGCACGCACGCGCACACATGCACACGCACACACATGCACACGCACGCACACGCATGCACACGCACGCACACGCATGCACACGCACGCACAGAAGTGGAGTTGTGGCTCAAGTAGCCGACGCTAGCTTTGAGCCAGAGCTTGTTTTTCGAGCTTGTTTAGCTCAAGGCTGGCGCTCTACCCCTTGTTTTTGGAGGCTCATCGGAGGGGAGTCTCTCGGACTTCCTGCCCGGGGCGGGCCTCGAACCTGGGTCCTCGGATCTCAGCCTCCTGAGTGGCGGGATGACAGGCGCGCGCTCCGGCGCGGCCTCGCCCAGGCCCGATGTGCACTGATCTCTCCCTGTCTCCTCCCTCAGTCCAGTCTGCACTGTGGAGCCCAGGCCAGCCCACGTTCCTGGCTGTGGTGGCTGGGGGCGCCCTAGGCCTTGTGGTCTTCCTGGCGTTGTTCATTTCCTGCTGTGTAAAATGGCGCCGTGGTCGGGTGAGCAAGCCCCGCCCTCTCCGCCCGGCCACGCCCTCTCTGCCCCGCCCCTCTGCCCTGCCACGCCCCTCCGCCCTGCCACGCCCCTCCGCCCTGCCACGCCCTCTCCGTCACGCCACGCCCCTCTGCCCTGCCACGCCCCTCCGCCCTGCCACGCCCTCTCCGTCACGCCCCGCCCCTCCGCCCTGCCACGCTCTCTCCGTCACGCCACGCCCCTCTGCCCTGCCACGCCCTCTCCGTCACGCCACGCCCCTCTGCCCTGCCACGCCCCTCCGCCATGCCACGCCCCTCCGCCATACCCCGCCTCCTCCACCATGTCCCTCCCCGCCCCCGCCCCGCCATGCCCCGCCCCCGCCATGCCCCGCCCCGCCCCTCCGCCATGCCCCGCCCCCGCCATGCCCCGCCCCCGCCATGCCCCGCCCCGCCCCTCCGCCATGCCCCGCCTCCTTCGCCACGCCACGCCCCCCTCCCGGGTGCCCGAGGCCCAGCCAGGACCCAGCGCCCCTGTGGCTCCAGCCTGCTCTGTCCAGTCCCCCAGGTTTCCGATTCTCCCATAGAGCGAGGGACAGACAGACAGACAGAGGGCTCCCGCCACAGTACATGCTTCTCCCCTCCCAGCGCCCCCCAGCCCCCCCTCCCAGGGCCGCCTCCCTCCCCGAGGCCGGGGGCCCTCAGGCCTCCCTTCCTTGTTCCCGGACAGCGCCAGGCCGAGCGGATGTCTCAGATCAAGAGGCTGCTGAGTGAGAAGAAGACCTGCCGGTGTCCCCAGTGAGCCCCGGCGGGGGGGGGGGGGGGGGGGGGGGAGGGGGAGAAGGAAGGGGACGACGGGAAGGAGGAAAGGAAGCCAGGCTGGGTCTCCACGCCAGCCACCCTAGCTACTGGGGAGGATCCCTAGGACGGAGGATCGAGGTTCAAGGCCAAGCCCCGCAATAAAGATCGGGAGACTCTGGTCTCCAGTGAACCACCAAAAGCCAGAAGCGGCCCTGGGCCGCAGTGGTAGAACGCTAGTCCTGAGTGTGTCACTCGGGGACAGAGCCCAGGCCCTGAGTTCAAGTCCCAAGACAATGGCGTGAGCAGGCGTGCTCAGACAGACAGACACACACACACAGAAGCCAGCCACTGGTGGCTCCCCCCTGTCACCCCAGCCACTCAGGAGGCTGAGATCTGAGGATTGAGGTTCAAAGCCAGCCTGGGCAGGAAAGGCCGTGAGATTCTGATCTCCAAGGAACCACCAGAAAACTGGAAGTGGTGCTGTGGCTCAAGTGGTAGAGCCCCAGCCTTGAGTGAAAGAGCTCAGAAACAGCTCCCAGCTCATGAGTTCAAACCCCCTTACCAATAACAAATAATTAAAAAAAATTTATTTTGGGGTCCAGTCATGGGGCTTGAACTCAGGGCCTGGGCGCTGTCCCTCAGCAATTCAGCTCAAGGCTGGTGCTCTACCACTTGAGCCACAGCACCATTTCTGGTTTTCTGGAGGTTCATGGAAGATCAGAATCTCATGCAGTTTCCTGCCCAGTCTGGCTGGGAACTGCAATCCTCAGATCTCAGCCTCCTGAGTAGCTGGGATAACAGGTGTGAACCACCCACACCTGGCTTCTCACAGCCTTTTCTACCCCCAGCTGGCCTCAAACAGCAGTCCTCAGGTCTCAGCCTCCTGAGTAGCTGGGATGACAGGCGTGAGTTGCTGGCACCTGCTGACTCCCCCCTCCCCCCCCTTGTTCTTTCTTCCTCCAGCCGGCTACAGAAGACTCACAATTTACTGTGAGCTGAAGACCTTGGCTGGGGGTGGGGGGGCTCCCCCCCACCCCGCCCCACCCCGTGCCCCAGCTCTCTGCTCTGCATTTCCGGTCAGGCTTGGGCCTGTGGACCAGATGAATGTAGCAGATGGCGGAGCTGCTGGCCTCTTCCTCCTCCTGGCTCCAACACCCAACATTGTCTCTTCTTTATTTCCCAGCTCCACCAGCGCCATTTTGCACTTTGCCCTCCTCTGATAATCCTCCTAGAATTCCTTCCCCAGATATTGACTTAGGTTCCGGTGGAGGGTATGGGAACAGCTCTGGCTAGCGCTGAGGGGAAGGCTGGGCATCTGGAAGCATCCATGACCATCTCTCTTGATTTGGGCCCAAATCCCACACGCGATCAGCAGTAGGCGCCAATCCAAAGGAGACCTGCCAGTCCCACCGGCCTCGCGCTCCCTGTCTCTCCTGCTTCTGCCACTTCCAGACTTGTATAGCACCAGGCCCTCTGAATACACACCTATGTGCACACTCACACTCATCCACAGACAAACGAGTTTCATGGCTGGGCCCTAGTGGCTCACGCCTGTCATCCTAGCTACTCAGGAGGCTGAGATCGGAGGATCATAGTTCGAGGCCAATCTGGGCAGACACACCTCAGAGCTGCTCATTTCTAATTAACCAGAAAAAAAAAAAAAAAACTAGAAGTAGAGCTATGGCTCAAGTGGTAGAGCACCAGCCTTGAACAGAAAAAGGATAACATCAATCAGGTGCTGGTGGCTCACGCCTGTAATCCCAGCTCACCCCTGTAATCTCAGGAGGCTGAGATCGGAGGATCGCAGTTCCCAGCCAGCCTAGGCAGGAAAGTCTGTGAGATTCTGATCTCCAATGAACCAGCAATAAAGCCAGAAGTGGAACTGAGGCACAATGTGGTAGAATGCCAAGCTTGAGCAAAAAAAAAAAAAAAAAGGCTCAGGGACAGTGCCCAGATCCTGAGTTCAAATCCCGGAAGTGGTGCACGTACACACACACACACACACACACACACAAACACAAGCAGGGGAAGAAGGCAGGAAGGAGAAAAAAAAGAAAAAAATAAAAGTCTAGCATCAAAAGAACCAGGACAGAAAGGGGACTCAACCTAGAAAATTCCTCCAGCTCTGGTCAGGACTGGCAGAGGTTCCCAGCCCTCTACAGAACTCTAGTACACACCTTTGAGCCCCCAGGAATCCCCCTTCCACAGATAGGGCCTGTCTGAGAATGTTCTGGAACCTCTGAGAATGTTCTGGAGGTCCTCCTCTTTTTTCTCTGGGGCTGCTGTCTGTCAGTCAGTGTGCGATTACCAGAGGTGTCCTCACAGTGTGGGCTGCAAGCTCAGGCCCTACCAGGAGAGAATGTCCACCCAGAAGCCATGCACCTTGTGTAGAACCTTCTGGAAGGTTGAGCTTTGCTGGGCGGTATTGGGCTCCTTCACTGCATATTTGGTATTTGTGTCTACTCTCCACTTTTGCTTTCCCCAAGCTCACAAAATAAAAATAGAAGAATGGAATAAACTTACTATAAAGAAGATGAACAGAGGTTGGTGTCATGACTCAGTGGGTAGAGCACCAGAAAAAGAACAAAAGTGTTGGTACTGAGTTTGAGTCCAAGTGTCGAACAAAAGAAAAAGAAAAGGGGGGAGAGAGAGAGGAAGAGAGAGAGAAAGAGAGAGATCCTAAATCAGGCCAGATGTCTTACCACTTGAGCCTGAAATATGAGGATCACAGTTCAAGGCCAGCCTGGACATGTTGTTGTTGTTGTTGTTTGGTGGTGGTGGGGCTCGAACTTGGGGCCTGGGCGCTGTCCCTGAGTGCTTCAGCTCAAGGCTGGTGCTCTACCCCTTGAGCCACAGCGCCACTTCTGGTTTTCTGGTGGTTCATGGGAGATCAGAGTCTCACGGACTTTCCTGCCCGGGCTGGCTTTGAACCGCGATCCTCAGATCTCAGCCTCCTGAGCAGCTGGGATGACAGGCGTGCACCGCCGGTGCCCGGCCCAAGAGACTCTTTAGCTCCTAATTAACCAGCAAAAACTAACACTAAAACAAAAAACAAAAAGTGAGCTGTGGTTCAAGTGGAAGAGATCCAACGTGGAAAGCCGGCTCAGGGAACAGCGCCTGGGTCCTGAGTTCAAGCCCCAGGACCGGCACACACACACACACACACACACACAGGAACACTGTGTGTGCAGGGCTACGTGTGTCTGCGGAGGAGGCTGGGTGTGCACCTTGCACTGATGTGTGTGCCCGCATCCTTTGAGGTCTCTGTCCTCCCCCAACTCCACAAAGCACCCCCAGCGGGACCCACAAACCGCAGGAGCCGGGCCCAGGCATCGCCCACCCCCTGGGGGGGGGACACGGGGTGGGGGACTCGCTTCACCCCGCAAACAGCTCCCACCGCCAGCTGCCTTTCTCTTGTTCCTATTGCCAAAAAAAAAAAAAAAAAAAAGCTGGGGATGGGGTGAGGGCCGAGCCTCTCCCCCTCCCCCAAGCCCCCCTCCCTCCTCCCTTTGTCACCCCCACCCCCCAAAACCTGTCCTGGGGTTCCCTAATCCAGGATCGCAGGCCCCCCCCCATTGCCCTTGATGCTGGGGGTGCTGGAGGGGCGGGGGAGGGGGGAGGGAGGGAGGGAGGGAGGTCTGGACGCAGAGGCCGGGAGGACGTGGGGGGGAGGGAGGGAGGAGGGAGGAGGAGGGAGGGAGGGAAGGAGGGAGGAGGGCGAGCGGAGCCGGCAGGAACCTCGTTGGGACGGAGCGCGTCTGCCCAGCACTGCTGGGCTCAACGAGAGGTAAGAGGGACCCCTGCCCGGCCCCCCCACCCATCACCGCCCCCCCACAGCCCCCCCCACTCGGCCTCCTCCCCCGCGGCCGCCCCAGGTCCCAGACACCTGCGATGAAGCCCAGGGCGAGGAGGGAGGGAGGGGCCTGTGACCTTAGCCCTTCACCTCTCTGCCAAGGACGGGTGTGGGGGGGCAGAGAGGGGGGACCCCAGCCACCAGGCAGCGAGCACCCCCAGATCCCTCCCTCCCTTCCTGCTATGGTCTGTCCTTCACCTCCTTCTCCCCTTCGTCCTTCTCCTCCTCCTCTCTCTCTCTCTCTCTGTCTCTCTCTCTCCTTTCCCATCTCTGTTTGGGGGTACCCCCCTGAGCTGGGCTTGGCGATCAGGTGGGTCCCAGGCTTCAAGGGAGGGCAGCGTGTGGGGGGGGGCTCTCTGGACCAGTTTCTCCATCTCCCTCCGGCTGGCCGTTGCCATGGTAACCGGGGTGGAGGAGCCCCAGGAGGACCATGCTGGGGGTGGGGTGGGGGTGGACAGGACCTTTTTTTTGGGGGGGGGGGGTTGGGTGGGAAGCCAAAGGGGCTGAGGGAACAGCTCACAGCCACTGGGGTGCCCCAATTATTTCTCCCCCCCACCCACATTTGCTCCAAAGCCATGATGCCTGTGTCCTCTTCACCCGGTCCCCCCTCGCGCCTCCCCCCCCCTCCCCCTCGCCAAGCCTGGTTTGCGTTGAAAGGAAACTGAGGCTGCAGGCCAGGAGAATGAGGGGTTCCCGCAGGGGAGGGGGAGGCGCCCTATGGGACACTGGGGTTTTGTGGGTTTGCTTTTGGGGGTGATTTCTGTTCATCATCTCTCGGTCCCCCAGCCTCTCCCGCCCGGGCCTCCACTCCGGAGCCTCCCCAGTGTGTCCGTCTATTTCCAGCTACTATCAGCGTTACCCCCTCTCTTTTTTCTCTCCTCCCCCCCTCCCCCGGCTGCAACATGCCTCCTGCGCCTCTGGTCCCCCCTCTTTCCATTTCTGGCAGTGTCTGATGTCAGTGGTTTCCCTCCTTCAGCCCGCCCCCTCCCCCTGCAGTCCCCATCTCCCTGCGCTCAGTCCCCGGAGGCTGCCCGGGAGGGAGGGAGGGAGAGGGCTCAGTACCAGCTCTGCCCAGGGGACCCACAGGCAGGAGACGCTGTTTACAGCGTACCCACAAAAATGAATTGAGGTGTGTGTCCCCATTGGTAGCTCTGTGTGCGTGTGTGTGTGTGTGTGTGTGTGTGTGTGTTGGTGTTGGAACTTGAACTCAGGGCCTGGCACTCACTTCTGGCTTTTTTATTTTCCTCTCAAGGTTGGTGCTTTACTGCTCCAGTCATACCTCCCCTTCAGGCTTTTTTTTGGGTCAGTCCTGGACCTCAAGGCCTGGGTATTAACCCCAAGTTGTTGCTGTTTTTGCTCAAGGCGGGTGCTTTCCCACTTTGAGCCACAGCGCCCATTTTTGCTTTTCTGCTGGTTCATTGGAGATGAGAACCTCATGACTTTCCTGCCCAGGCTGGCTTTGAACCGTGATCCTCAGATCTCAGTCTCCCGAATAGCTGGGATGCCAGGTGGGGAGCCTCCAGTACTGGCTAGGCCTAGATTCTTTTTTGTTGTTATTGTCTTTGTTTTGTTTATGTGGTCCAGGGAATCGAACCCAGGGCCTCATGCACGCTAGGCAAGCACTCTACCACTGAACCACATTCCCAGGTCTAGACTGCTTTAACCTCCTTTTTTATTCTTTCTGGAAACTATGGAATTAGATCATTGTTAGGGGTTTGAGGGGGGGTTCATTCAAGCCAGCCTGGGCAGGAAAGTTTGTGAGACTCTTGTCTTCAATGAGCCATCAAAAAGCTAGAAGTGAAGGTATGACCTAAATGGTAAAGCACCAGCCAACCTTGAACAGACAAGCTAAGGGACAGAGCCTGGACTGTAAGTTCAAGCCCCAGGATCTGCACAAAAGTTCATAGCCTGGCACTGGTGGCTCCCGCCTGTCATCCCAGCTACTCAGGAGGCTGAGATCTGAGGATCCTCGATCAAAACCAGCCCAGGCAGGAAAATCTATGAGACTTTTTTGGGTTGTTTTTGCCAGTCCTGGGGCTTGCACCTAGAGCCTGGCTTGTATCCCTTAGCTTATTTTTTGCTCAAGGCTAGTTGTACTTTACCACTTGAGCCACAGCTCCCCTTCCAGCTTTGTGATGGTTCATTGGAGATCAGAGTCTCACAGACTTTGCTGCCCGGGCTGGCTTTGAACTGCGATCCTCAGCTCTCAGCCTCCTGAGTAGCTAGGATGACAGGCGGGAGCCACCAGGGTGTGCTTAAAGCATAGTCTAGACTCAGGAAGGTGGCTCCGTGGTAGAGCGCTCGCCTAGCATGCATGAAACCCTGGGTTCGATTCCTCAGCACCACAGACACAGAAAAAGCCAGAAGTGGTGCTGTGGCTCATGTGGTAGAGCGCCAGCCTTGAGCCAAAGAAGCTCAGGGACAGCGCCCAGGCCCTGAGTTCAAGCCCCAGGACTGGCTAAAAACAAACAAAAGAATCTAGGCCTGACCTTTGCCCTCTGCCTCTTTCTGCAGCTGAAGCAAGAGGAGTCTAACCTAGCAAAGCTACCTTTCTTTGTTCGGTGGGAAGGGTGTCAGATTCTAGAAGATTCCCTGCCTGGTTTGCAAAGCTGAGGACTCAAAAGACCTGCCAAGCCCCAGCCTGGGTTCTAGAACTTTCCACCAGGGTCTCATCCTGGAGGAAGCAGCCAGCTCGCCTCTCCCCATCGACTCCACAGAGAGACTCAAGCCAGGCCCAACCTGGAGGCTGAGGCCGGCCTCTGACTGATTTCCCAGCCTCGCCCTTCCTGCCCGACCCGGGGAGGGGGCCAAGCCATGTCCTGTGAAGCAGCGGGGTGAGCTGGGAAGCAACCTCCTTGAATCCCGGACCCCGATCGCGCGGGGGAGGGGGGTCATCATGGCGGGGAGCGTGAGTGGGGCTCCGGGGTGAGACCTAGCCCCCACCCCCACCCCAAGCGTGGCAGCAGGGGGGGGTGGGGGTGCGGCTAGGATGGCTCGGGGCGGGACAGGGGCAGAAGAGGCCTCCCTGCGCTCCAACGCCTTGTCCTGGCTGGCCTGCGGCCTCCTGGCCTTGCTGGCCAATGCCTGGATCATCCTCAGCATCTCGGCCAAGCAGCAGAAGCACAAACCCCTGGAGCTGCTCCTGTGCTTCCTGGCGGGGACTCACATCCTCATGGCGGCCGTACCCCTCACCACCTTCGCTGTGGTCCAGCTTCGGCGCCAGGCGTCGTCCGATTACGACTGGAACGAGAGCATCTGCAAGGTTTTCGTGTCCACCTACTACACGCTGGCCCTGGCCACGTGCTTCACGGTGGCGTCGCTGTCCTACCACCGCATGTGGATGGTGCGCTGGCCGGTGAACTACCGCCTGAGCAACGCCAAGAAGCAGGCCCTGCACGCGGTCATGGGCATCTGGATGGTGAGCTTCATCCTGTCCACCCTGCCTTCCATCGGCTGGCACAACAATGGCGAACGCTACTACGCCCGGGGCTGCCAGTTCATCGTCTCCAAGATCGGCCTGGGTTTTGGGGTGTGCTTCAGTCTCCTGCTTTTGGGGGGCATCGTCATGGGCTTGGTGTGCGTGGCCATCACCTTTTACCAGACGCTCTGGGCCCGGCCGCGTAGAGCCCGGCTGGCCCGTGGAGGCCGGGCGAACGGAGGATCCAAGCCTGGAGGCCTGGGGAGTTTGGGGACCCGAGCGGCTTTTGAGGTGCCGGCGATCGTGGTGGAGGACACGCGTGGGAAGCGGCGGTCCTCGCTGGACGGGTCCGAGTCGGCCAAGACGTCGCTGCAGGTCACCAACTTGGTCAGCGCCATCGTCTTTCTCTACGACTCCCTCACTGGGGTGCCGATCTTGGTGAGATTTCGGGGAGGGGGGGTCTCCCCGCTATCCCTCTGACCTCCATCAGCCACGCAGCGTGGTCCCGTGATTCCGCCCCCAGTGCGGGATTCCATCCTCCCCTCCTCCATCTCTCCCCCCATTTTTTTATTTTTGGTCGGTCGTGGGGCTTGAACTCGGGGCCTGGGCGCTGTCCCTGAGCTCTTCAGCTCAAGGCTGGCGCTCTACCACTTGAGCCACAGCGCCACTTCTGGTTTTCTGGTGGTTCCTTGGAGATCAGAGTCTCACAGACTTTCCTGCCTGGGCTGGCTTTGAACCTCGATCCTCAGATCTCAGCCTCCTGAGTGGCTGGGATGACAGGCGGGAGCCTCGACGCCCGGTTAAGCAGTGTGTGACCTGCCGCTCTCCCCCTGCTCCAGGTGGTGAGCTTCTTCTCTCTGAAGTCGGACTCGGCCCCGCCCTGGATGGTCCTGGCCGTGCTGTGGTGCTCTATGGCACAGACGCTGCTGCTGCCCTCCTTCATCTGGTCCTGCGAGCGCTACCGGGCCGACGTCCGCACGGTGTGGGAGCAGTGCGTGGCCATCATGTCGGAGGAGGATGGCGATGAGGGTCAGCGCCGCCTTTGCTTTCCCGGCTCTCCTCCCCGCCCCACAGCGCCCTCTGGTGGACGGAGCCGGCGTGGCCTTGGCCTCATGAGAACACTGTGGTCCTCACTTTTGTATTGTGGGCCCCTTGAAGCAGGCCTGGGGGCCCTCCAGAAGCCCATATCACCCAGAGAACCAGACAAGCTGCCCCCCCACCGCCCTAACTTAATGATACACATCATCACGTCTGCCATCCCAGCTCCTCAGGAGGCTGAGATCTGAGGATCACGGTTCAAAGCCAGTCCAGGCAGGAAAGTCCATGAGACTCTGATCTCCCAGGAACCACCAGAAAACTGGATGTGGCGCTGTGGCTCAAGTGGTAGAGCGCCCGCCTTGAGCTGAAGAGCTGAGGGACAGCGCCCAGGCCTAGAGTTCAAGCCCCACAACTGACAAAAAAAGAAAAAAGAAAGAAATACTCACGAACTTTCCTGCCCAGGCTGGCTTCGAATCACAATCCTCAGATCTCAGCCTCCTGAGTAGATAGGATGACAGGCGTGAGCCACTGGCACCCCGCAGATCATTACTTCTATAAGTAGTATCAAAGTTAACACATCGGCACCACCCTTGGGCAGAATGATGGACATCGAGGGGTTCATGGACAGGGCAAAGAAGGGATGGTGAGCTCTGTGACCCCTGTACCCCCTTTTCTCTCACAGACGAGGGCTGTGATGAGTACTCGGAGAGCCGCATGTGCAAAGTCCGCTTCGATGCCAATGGAGCCACGGGATCGGGCAGCGGGGACCCCACTCAGGTGAAGCTGCTGTCCGGGCGACATATGCTCTTCCCTCCTCTCGAGAGAGTACACTACTTACAGGTAGGGGCTGAGGAGACCCAACCCAGATCTTGCTCCTCCTCCTCCATCTTAACCTCTCCCCCTCCTCCCATCCCTGAGACCCCAAGCCTTAGCCTGCTGGGCTCGCCAAGAGGCGGGCAAAGTAAATATTTTGGAGATGTTGGAGTAGGGTGGCTCCCACCTGTAATCCCAGCTGCTCAGGAGGCTGAGATCTGAGGATGGAGGTTCCAAAGCCTAGCATAGGCAGGAAGGTCCATGAGACTCTCATCTCCAATGAACCAGCAAAAAGCTAAGTGACAACACCCTGGCCCCGAGTTCAAGCCCCAGTACCCACAAACCAAAACACGGCACTGGTGGTTTGTACCTCTAATCCTAGCTACTCAGGGAGCTGAGAGCTGAGGATCCGGGTTCAGAACCAGCCCAAGGAAGGAAAGTCTATGAGACTCTTATGTCCACTGAGCCACCCCCCCCAAAAAAAGCCAGAAGCGGAGCTGTGGTTCAAGTGGTAGAGCGCCAGCCTTGGAGCACAAAAGCTCAGGGACAGCGCCCAGGTCCTGAGTTCAAGTCCCAGCACCAGCACACACATGAAAAAGCATGGCACCATCTTAAAAGGTCCCCAGATGGGGTCCTTCCTCCTCTACCGTTGTCTTGGCAGCACCCAAACGTCTGTGGACTGTTCCTCTCCTCAGGTCCCCCTGTCGCGCCGGCTGTCCCACGATGAGATCAACACCTCCAGCCCGCGCATGCCCGGATCCTTCCTGCACAAATGGTCATCCTCGGATGACATCCGGGCCCTTGGGGGCCCCCCCGATTACCTGAGGGCCAGGCTGGAGGATGAGGAGGATGAAGAGGATGCTGAGGGTGGAGGGCTGGCTAGCCTCCGGCAGTTTCTAGAGAGCGGGGTTCTGGGGTCCGGTGGGGGACCCCCACGGGGTGCTGGCTTCTTCCGGGAAGAGATCACCACGTTCATCGATGAGACACCTCTGCCTTCTCCCACGGCCTCCCCAGGACCCTCTCCACGCCGGCCCCGGCCGCTGGGCCTCGCCCCCCGAAGAGCCTCCCTGGGGTCTCCAGATGACAGAGGCCTTGGACTTCCTCTGGGGCCAAGTATCGCGAGACGCTGCTCCCTGACTGGGAGTGAGGGAAGAAGCAGGGCTTGGGGGAGGCCCTGGAGCCCGGGGAACCCCATCTTTTCCCAGCTGACCCTGTAGGCCCAAGTGGACCTGGTAGAATGGGAGAAAGGGGATCTGTCCCCCCCAAACCTATGGCAGCTGGCTCCAGGTTTGGATACTGGAGATGCACAGTGGGTCTGGGCGGTAGAGCTCCCCCCCCCACCCCACAAAGCCCCCCAACACGCGCCCCCTTTAACATCCTTAGCGAAATGTATTAAAATCTCAAGTGTTGCCATAGCAACCGCAGGGTGTTTGGGTTGTGTCGGTGGCATTGTCTCAGAGGCTCACGTGTGTGCGTGCGTGCATGCGCGTGTGTGTGTGTGTGTGTGTGTGTGTGTGTGTGTGTCAGAGACGATGAGATGGACCAGTGGAACAGAACAGGGGGTGAAGGCACAGGACCTGCAGGCTGCCAGCCGGGCACCGTGCCTCACGCCTGTAATCCCAGCTGCTACTGTGGAGGCTGAGATGTAAGGGGGTTGGTTTCCAGGGAGACTCTGATCTCCGAGGAACCACCAAAGAAAGCAGGAATGGAAGTGTGGCTCCAGTGGTAGAGCACCAGCCTGGAGTGAAAAGTGCCCAGGCCCTGAGTTCAAGCCCCAGGATTGGTGTGTGCGCGCACACACACACACACACAGTGATTTCACTCTCCTCTCTCATTTACATTTGGGCCTGCTGGTCTTTGGTGTGGAACTTCCTCCCTCTACTTTCTTATCCTCTCTCCCTTCCCCTCCCCTCCCTCGCCCCTTCCTCCTCCCTCGCCCCTTCCTCCTCCCTCTCCCCTTCCTCCTCCCTCTCCCCTTCCTCCTCCCTTCCCCTTTTCTTCATCCTCCTCCCTCCCCTCCCTTTCTCCTTCCCCTTCTCATCTGCCAATTCCCCTCCCCTCCCCTTCTCTCTCTTCCCTTTCCCCCCTCTCCCCTCCCCTCTTCTCCTTCCTCTCTTCTGCTTCCCTCCTTTTCCCCTCCCCTCTTCCCATTCCCTTCCCCCTTCTTCTCCTTCCCACCCCTCCTCTCCTTCCCCCCCACTTCCCCCTTCTTCCTCCCTCCCCCTCCTCTCCCTCTTCCCTCCCCTCTTCCTCCTCTCCCTCCCTTCTTCTTTCCCCTCCCTCCCCTACTCCTTCTTCCCCCCTTCCCCTCCCCTCTTCTTCCCTCCCTCCCCTCCTCTCCCCCTTTCCCTCACTTCTTCCTCCCTCCCCCTCCTCTCCCCTCCTCCCTCCCCCCCACTTCCCCCTCCCTCCCCTCCCCTCCCCTCCTCCCTCCCCCCTCCGTCTCCTCCCCATCGTCTTCCCCCGCCGTCCCGTCCTCCTCCCCGCCGTCCCGTCCTCCTCCCCGCCGTCCCGTCCTCCTCCCCGCCGTCCCGCCGTCCCCGCGGTCCGGGCGCCATGCCGGGGCCGCCGCTGCTGCTGCTGCTGCTGCTGGCGCGGGCCGGGCGGGCGCTGGCGGCGGAGCCCCCGGGCCTGGCGGCGCTGCGGCCCGGGGCGGCGCCGCAGCCGGCCGACCTGCTCTACGCCGACGGGCTGCGCGCGTACGCGGCGGGCGCCTGGGCGCGGGCCGTGGCGCTGCTGCGGGAGGCGCTGCGGAGCCGCGCGGCGCCGGGCCGGGCGCGCCGGGCGTGCGGGGCGCGCTGCGGGGCGGCGGCGGCGGCCGGGCGCTGGGAGGCGGCGCTGCTGCGGGCGGCGCTGCGCCGCGCCGAGTGTCTGGGCCGCTGCGCCGCGCGCGCGCTGGGCCCCGGGGCCGCCGCGCGGATGCGCCTGGCCCGCGCCGTGCGCGACGCCTTCCGCCGCCGCGAGCCCTACAACTACCTGCAGCGCGCCTACTTCCAGGTGGGCCGGGCCGCCCCGGGGCCGGGGCCGGGGCCTACTCACACCCGGGGCCGGGGCCGCCCCCGGGGCCTACTCACAGACGAGGCCGGGGCCGCCCCCGGGGCCTACTCACAGACGGGGCCGGGGCCTACTCACACCCGGGGCCGGGGTCCCCACACCCGGGGCCGGGGCCTACTCACAGACGGGGCCGGGGCCTACTCACAGACGGGGCCGGGGCCTACTCACAGACGGGGCCGGGGTCCCCACACCCGGGGCCGCCCCCGGGGCCTACTCACAGACGAGGCCGGGGTCCCCACACCCGGGGCCGGGGCCGGGGCCTACTCACAGACGGGGGCCGGGGTCCCCACATCCGAGACCCACTTCCAGATGGGGTCCCCAATCCGAGGTCTACTTCCAGGAAAAGTCGGGGTCTCCACATTTGGGGCCCACTTCCAGATGGGGGGCTGGGATCCCCGAATCCAGGGCCACTTCCAGAAGTCGGGGTCCCCAAAATCCGGGGTCTACTTCCACATGGAGGGCCGGGGGTCTTCACAGCCGAGGCCCATTTCTAGATGGGGTCCCCAAAATCCGGGCTCTACTTCCGGGTGGGGGCCGGGGGGTCCCCACATCTGGGATCTGCTTCCAAGTGGGGTCGGGTCGGGGATCCCCGAAGCTGGGACCTGCTTCCAAATGGCCAGCCAAGGGCTCCAAATCTGGGCCCTACTTCCACCTGGGGCTAGGGAATGGGAGTCCCCAAATCCAGGGCCCCCTTCCAGCTGGGGTCGGGGAGAGAGGTCCCCAAAATCCGGGGTCCTACAGCTACGTGCAGTGGGCCTCCTTCTTGGGGGTTTCTGCCAGTCCGGGGTCTTGAACCCGGGGCCTGGGCGCTATCTCTGAGCTTTTTCACTCCAGGCGGGCGCTCTACTACTTGAGCCACAGCGCCACCTGCGGCTTTTTGTTGGTTCACTGGAGATGAGAGTCTCACAGACTTTCCTGCCAGGGCTGGCTTTGAACCGTGATCCTCCGATCTCAGCCTCCCGAGTAGCCGGGATGACAGGCTGGCGCTCCAGCACCAGTCAGGCTTTAGTGGGTTGGTGACACGTTTGTCGGGCCAGCTCCACCCTGTCTAAAAAATCCAAGGCGGTTTAGGGGGAATCAGACCCCACCAAAGGAATGAGGCATCTGTGTCTGGGGCAGGGGGGCTGAGGGGCGCCTTCTCTTCTTGGAGTCCCCCCCCCCCCCCCCCCCGCAGGATATTTTGCCATCAGCTACCAGGATGGCAGGGGTGCCTACGTGGCTAGGGATGGGCAGGGCCGGTCACTCCCTGGGTCCTAGAGACCTGTGGATTTTGTCTCCCTCCCCAGCACATACAGTGATTTTTGTTGTGATCGGTGGTGGGACTTGAACTCAAGGCCTGGGCGCTGTCCCTCCGCCCTTCAGCTCAAGGCTGGTGCTCTACCACTTGAGCCACAGCACCACTTCTGGTTTTCTGGTGGTTCCCTGGAAATCAGAGTCTCAAGGACTTTCCTACCTTGGCTGGCTTTGAACTGCGGTCCTCAGATCTCAGCCTCCAGGGTGGCTGGGATGACAGGCGTACGCCACCAGTGGCCGGCTCATTTCTTGCTTTTTATGTCAGTCCTGGGGCTTGAACTCGGGGCCTGGGCCACTGTCCCTGAGCTTTTATGTTTTATTTCTTTTCCTTCGAGCCTGGCGCTCTACCCCTTGAGCCACGCCTCCACCTCCAGCTTCTCCAGGTTCACTGGAGATCAGTCGCCCACATTTGTCCGTCCTGGGCTGGTTTTGAAGGGGGCTGCTCAGATCGTGAGCTGTCCTGAGTGGCCGGGATTACAGGAGTGACTATTAGTGCTTGGCTCACCAGTGAGATGGGGTATCGAGGCTGATACCTCCACCCTGGAGGGGGGGAGGAGGGGAGCTCTGACACCCCGTTCCCTTTGTCCTCAGTTGAAGAAGTTAGACCTGGCGGCCGCTGCGGCTCACACCTTCTTTGTAGCAAACCCAAACCACTTGCAGATGAGAGAGGACATGGCAAAGTATAGACGCATGTCTGGGGTTCGGCCTCAGAGTTTCCGGGACCTAGAGACACCCCTGCATTGGGTAAGACCCCTACCCTCAACCCCACCCCCCATCTTGCCATACCCTTTGAATAGGGCTCTGTACGGTGTGACTACCCCTTTCCACCTAGGATCTTTTTCTTTGTCCGCTGGTGCCGAGACTTGAACTCAGGGCCCTCACTTGACTTTTTCCATTCAAGGCTTGTGGGCTGCCGCTTGAGCCACCGCTGCGCTTGTAGCTCTATTTTTTGCTGGCAAGAAGAGTCTCAGAGACTTTTCTTCCCGGGTTGACTTGGAACCCCGATCTTCACATCTCCAGCTCCTGCGTAGCTGGGATGACAGGCGGGTGCTACCATGCTCCTTTCTACTTCCCATCCTCCTTTGGCACCCTCTCCTAGATCGCTGATGCCTCCCTCCTTCCCCCTCTTCCTCCAGGCGGCCTATGATGCCAGCCTGGAGCTGATGGAGCGCCAGGAAGCCGGGCTGGCACTGCCCAGGCTGGAGGAGGCCCTGCAGGAGACTCTAGCGCAAATGGAGACCTGCTGGGCTGGCTGCCAGGGGCCTGAAGAGCAACAGGAAGAGGAGGAGGAGGAGAAGAAGGAAGATGAAGAAGGGGCCGGGGGTCCCGGGGGTCTCTATGAAGCCGTTGCCGGTGAGGGACCAGCACGGGGTCTGGGATTACAGGCGTGAGCCACTGCGCCCAGCCCCAGGCTGATAGCTTTGTGTGTGTGTGGCTGTGGTCCACGATCCTCAGATCTCAGCCTCCTGAGTAGCTGGGATGACAGGCGTGCGTAGCACGGCCCAGCCCCGAGCTGATCGCTTGGTGTGTGTTTTTGCAGGGCACTGGATTCGGGTCCTGCTGTGCCGACAGCGCTGTGTGGCGGACACGGCCACCCGCCCCGGGCGCAGCCATCCTGTTCCTGACTTCCTTCCTAACCAGCTAAGGAGGCTACACCAGGCACACGCTCAGGGTTGGTTGGGTAGACACTGGGAGGGACTGGCATAAGTAGATCACAGCTCTGTGTGTGTGTGTGTGTGGACTGGGGCTTGAACTCAGCGCCTTACGTACTGGCTCTTAAACTGCGATGCTCAGATCTCAGCCTTCCGAGTAGCTGGGATTACAGGCAGCACCACCGGTGCCCGGCAGTTGGAGGTTCTTGAGATGATTCTCTCCACAGCTGCGTCTGTTTCTCTCGTTTGTCTCTGTCTCCAGTGGGAAATCTGTCTGAGGCTGTGGAAAATGTCCTGAGCGTTCTGCTCTTCTACCCGGATGACGAGGCCGCCAAACAAGCTCTGAGCCAGTACCAAGCCGAGCTCGGGGAGCCCAGACCAGGCCTTGGACCCAGGGAGGTAACCACCATCCTCCCATAATCCCACGGGGCAGGCCTAGTTCAAAGCCACACACCTGAAAAGCAACATGGACACCAAAGGGACCCAGGTTCAAGTGCGATCTCTCTTTCCATGCCTTTGTGGTGTGTCAGTCTTGGGTCTTGAACTCTGGGCCTGGGCACTGTCCCTGAGCTCTTCTGCTCAAGGCCAGCGCTCTACCACTTTGAATCATGGCACCACTTCCGGTTTTCTGGTGGTTCACTAGAAATAAGAGTCTCCTTCCTGGCCTGGCCTCAAACTACGATCCTCCCACCTCAGCCTCCTGAGTAGCTGGGGTGACAGGCCTGAGCCACCAGTGCTGGGCTTGATCCATGCCTTTTTTTTGCTTTCGGTGTTATCTTTTTGTGGATGTGCTGGCACTGGGGTTTGAATTCAGAGCCTGGGTATCGTTCCTTTTTTGCCCAAGATTGACACTCTAGCTGGCTGCTGGCGGCTCACGTGGTTTAAAGCCAGCCTGGGTAGAAAAATCTGTGAAGTGGCGTTGTGTCTCAAAAGGTAGAGCGCCAGCCTTGAGCACAAAGAGGCTCAGGAACAGCGCCCAGGCCCTGAATTCAACCCCCACAACTGACAAAAAAAAAAGACTGTCACTCTACCACTTGAGCCATACCTCTACTTCCAGCTTTTTGCTGGTTCATTGGGGATAAGAGTCTCATGGATTTTCCTGCCTGGGTTAACTTTAAATCATAATTCTCACATCCCAGCTTCCTGAGTCGTTAGGATTACAGGCGTGAGCCACCAATACCTGGCACTATTAGTATCATTATTATCAATTTTTAATTATCTCCAATGTAAAAATTAGCATCAATTAGTTGCACAAGGAATTTTTTTTCCTTTTTGGTGTTGTGGGGCTTGAACTCTGGGCCTGGGCACTGTCCCTCAGCTCTTCAGCTCAAGGCAAGCGCTCTACCACTTTGAGCCACAGCACTTCCAGTTTTCTGGTGGTTCATTGGAGATCAGAGTCTCACGGACTTTCCTGCCCGGGTTGGCTTTGAACCTCCATCCTCAGATCTGTCTCCTGAGTAGCTAGGATGACAGGCGTGAGCCACTGGCACCCAGCAAGAGCATGTCTATAGATGCCTGTAATGTAGTTTGATCAGACTCACCAACTCTGGTCACTTTCCTCCCTCTTCCCCGTACCCCGACTTTATTTGGGGATAGGGTCTCATGTTTATATCTGAGACATCCTGGACTCTGACCAGTCCTCCTATTTGCACTTTCCCTGTATCTAGGGATTACACGCGTGTGCTACCATGCCCAGCCATTTTTGGTGCAGATGGGATCTTGTTCTTTGCCCGAGCTGGCCTCAAACCACAAACCTGCCAGTTTTCATCCAGCTGGGATTACAGGCGTGAGCCACGAGACTTGGCCCACACACATTTTCTGTTACACTTGTTTCCTTGTTGGAGCCTAGCTGCTCTGGAAGTTGAGCGACTGAAAGAGGCTCATTGAAAGGTTTGGGGAGCTTCCGTGGCTCCCTAGAACCTGGGGCGACCTGCCTGCCTCTGCTTTGACCTGCCTTCTCCTGGTGCCCCCCCTCCCCGCCCCTCTTTTCCTGACTGCTCACCTTGCTATGTTCAGGACATCCAGAACTTCGTCCTTCGGTCCCTGGGGGAGAAGAGACAGCTTTACTACGCCATGGAACATCTTGGTATCAGCTTCCAGGACCCTGTGAGTAGCTGTAGTGTTGTCTTAGGAGGAGGAACACTAATCCCCATCCCCCCCCCAGTGCTGGAGGCTGCCATCTAGAGGATCGTGGCTTGAGGCCAGATTAGGCAGCAAAGTTCATTAAAAAAAAAAAATCCATCTCTAATGAGCCAAAAGCTGGGCTGGCGGTGCGATTCAAGGGGAAGAGTGCCAGTGTGAGCAAGAAAAGCTGGGTGAGAGCTTGAGGCTTTGGTTTCACACCTTGATACCAGCCACACACACACCAAAAAACCCCTGTGAGGCTCATTTAAATCCTACCTTGACCTCACTAGCTGTGTGATCTTCACCTTGTTGCTTGGCCTTTCTGTGTCTCTGGATAAAATGAGCATATCGCTACCTGTTGTGTGACTATTGGGAGGTGTGTGCGTGTGTGTGTGTGCGTGCGTGCGCGCTGCTCCTGGGCTTGGGCTCAGGGTCTGGGTACCGTTCCTGAGCTTTCTCACTCAAAGCTGACACTACCCCTTGAGCCCCAGCCCGCATCTGGCTTTGATGCTTTATTGGGAATGAGACGTGTCTGCCCCGCTGGCTTGGCACCACGAGGCTCAGATCTCAGCCTTCTGCGTAGCTGGGATGACAGATGGGAGCTTCTGGTGCTGGAGAAGTTGCCCTTTACTGCCTGTGATTGCCCGGCCGCTGCACCGAGGGGCCCTGTTCCCCCTCCCTCCACCCCTCCCCCCAGTCCACCCTCCCTCCCCCCCCCCGTCCACCCTCCCTCCCCCGTCCACCCTCCCTCCCCCCAGTCCACCCTCCCTCCCCCGTCCACCCTCCCTCCCCCCAGTCCACCCTCCCTCCCCCGTCCACCCTCCCTCCCCCCAGTCCACCCTCCCTCCCCCCAGTCCACCCTCCCTCCCCCGTCCACCCTCCCTCCCCCCTGCCCCCCGTCCACCCTCCCTCCCCCCTGCCCCCAGTCCACCCTCCCTCCCTCTCTCCCCCGTCCATCCTCCCTCCCCCCTGCCCCCAGTCCACCCTCTCTCTCTCCCCAGTCCACCCTCCCTCCCTCTCCCCCCCTCCACCCTCCCTCCCCCCTGCCCCCAGTCCACCCTCCCTCTCCCCCAGTCCACCCTCCCCCTCCCCCGTCCACCATCCCTCTCCCCCCAGTCCACCCTCCCCCTCCCCTGTCCACCCTCCCCCTCCCCCGTCCACCCTCCCCCTCCCCCGTCCACCCTCCCCCCGTCCACCCTCCCTCCCCCCTTCAGTCCCCCCACCCCCCCCAGCAGCGGCACCACTTGGGCAGGCCAGGTCCGCACTGGGTGTGGCTGGTTACCTTCCTCGCTTGTCCCAGGACCCCTGGACCCCGGCGGCCTTCATCCCCAAGGCGCTGAGAGAGACGCTCAGGTAGGCGGGGCCGGGCGGGCGGGGCTGAGGGAGGCACGCGGGGGGCGGGGCTGAGGGAGGCACGCGGGGGCGGGGCTGAGGGAGGCACGCGGGGGCGGGGGCTGAGGGAGGCACGCGGGGGCGGAGCTGAGGGAGGCACGCGGGGGGGGGGGGCGGGGGCACGCGGGGGGGGGGGCACGCCGGGGGGAGGGCGGGGGCACGCGGGGGGGGGGGGCGGGGGCACGCCGGGGGGAGGGCGGGGGCACGCGGGGGGGGGGCGGGGGCACGCCGGGGGAGGGCGGGGGGCACGCGGGGGGGGGGCGGGGGCACGCCGGGGGGGGGCGGGGGCACGCCGGGGGAGGGGCGGGGGGCACGCGGGGGGGGGGCGGGGGCACGCCGGGGGGGGGCGGGGGGCACGCCGGGGGGGGCACGCGGGGGGGGGGCGGGGGCACGCCGGGGGAGGGCGGGGGCACGCGGGGGGGGCGGGGGGCACGCCGGGGGGGGGCGGGGGCACGCCGGGGGGGGGGGCACGCCGGGGGGGGGGCGGGGGCACGCCGGGGGGGATGCACCGAGGCACGCCGGGAGTCTGGCTGAGCGTCTCTGTCGCCCCTGAGGGAGGATCAAGAGCAGAGGCCTTGGGACCTGGAGCCTCCGCGGCCAGCGGCGGCCGACTGGCAGGGTGCGTTGGCGGGGGGCGGGGGGTGTCTGTGGGGTGTCTGTGGGGTGTCTGTGGGGTGTCTGTGGGGTGTCTGTGTGGGGTGTCTGGGGGGTGTCTGTGGGGTGTCTGTGTGGGGTGTCTGTGGGGGGTGTCTGTGGGGTGTCTGTGTGGGGTGTCTGGGGGGGTGTCTGTGGGGTGTCTGTGGGGTGTCTGTGGGGTGTCTGTGTGGGGTGTCTGTGGGGTGCCTGTGGGGTGCCTGTGGGGGTGTCTGTGTGGGGTGTCTGTGTGGGGTGTCTGTGGGGTGTCTGTGTGGGGTGTCTGTGGGGTGTCTGTGGGGTGTCTGTGGGGTGTCTGTGTGGGGTGTCTGTGGGGTGTCTGTGTGGGGTGCCTGTGGGGTGCCTGTGGGGTGTCTGTGTGGGGTGTCTGTGGGGTGCCTGTGAGGTGCCTGTGGGGTGTCTGTGTGGGGTGTCTGTGGGGTGTCTGGGGTGTCTGTGGGGTGTCTGTGGGGTGTCTGTGGGGTGTCTGTGGGGTGTCTGTGGGGGTGTCTGTGTGGGGTGTCTGGGGTGTCTGGGGGGTGTCTGTGTGGGGTGTCTGTGGGGTGTCTGGGGTGTCTGTGGGGTGTCTGTGGGGTGTCTGTGGGGTGTCTGTGGGGTGTCTGTGGGGGTGTCTGTGTGGGGTGTCTGGGGTGTCTGGGGGGTGTCTGTGTGGGGGTGTCTGTGGGGTGTCTGGGGTGTCTGTGGGGTGTCTGTGGGGTGTCTGTGGGGTGTCTGTGGGGTGCCTGTGGGGTGTCTGTGGGGTGTCTGTGTGGGGTGTCTGTGGGGTGTCTGTGGGGTGTGTGTGGGGTGCCTGTGGGGTGTCTGGGGGGTGTCTGTGGGGTGTCTGTGGGGTGTCTGTGTGGGGAGTCTGTGGGGTGCCTGTGGGGTGCCTGTGGGGTGTCTGTGTGGGGTGTCTGTGGGGTGTCTGTGGGGTGTCTGTGGGGTGTCTGTGTGGGGTGTCTGTGGGGTGTCTGTGGGGTGCCTGTGGGGTGTCTGTGGGGTGTCTGTGTGGGGGTGTCTGTGGGGTGTCTGTGGGGTGTGTGTGGGGTGCCTGTGGGGTGTCTGGGGGGGTGTCTGTGGGGTGTCTGTGGGGTGTCTGTGTGGGGAGTCTGTGGGGGTGCCTGTGGGGTGCCTGTGGGGTGTCTGTGTGGGGTGTCTGTGGGGTGTCTGTGGGGTGTCTGTGGGGTGTCTGTGTGGGGTTTCTGTGGGGTGTCTGTGTGGGGTGCCTGTGGGGTGCCTGTGGGGTGTCTGTGTGGGGTGTCTGTGTGGGGTGTCTGGGGGGTGTCTGTGGGGTGTCTGTGGGGTGTCTGTGTGGGGTGTCTGGGGGGTGTCTGTGGGGTGTCTGTGGGGTGTGTGGGGGGTGTGTGGGGGGTGTCTGGGGTGTCTGGGGGGTGTCTGTGGGGTGTGTGTGGGGTGTCTGTGGGGTGTCCTGTGGGGTGTGTGTGGGGTGTCTGTGGGGTGTCTGGGGTGTCTGTGGGGTGTCTGTGGGGTGTGTGTGTGGGGTGTGTGGGGGGTGCCTGTGGGGTGCCTGTGGGGTGTCTGTGGGGTGTCTGTGGGGTGTGTGTGGGGTGTCTGTGTGGGGGTGTCTGTGGGGTGTCTGGGGTGTCTGGGGGGTGTCTGTGTGGGGTGTCTGTGGGGTGTCTGGGGTGTCTGTGGGGTGTCTGTGTGGGGTGTCTGTGGGGTGCCTGTGGGGTGTCTGTGTGGGGTGTCTGGGGGGGTGCCTGTGGGGTGCCTGTGGGGTGTCTGTGTGGGGTGTCTGTGGGGTGTCTGTGGGGTGTCTGTGTGGGGTGTCTGTGTGGGGTGTCTGTGGGGGTGCCTGTGGGGTGTCTGTGTGGGGTGTCTGTGGGGGTGTCTGTGGGGTGTCTGTGGGGTGTCTGTGTGGGGTGTCTGTGTGGGGTGTCTGTGGGGTGTCTGTGGGGTGTCTGTGGGGTGTCTGTGTGGGGTGTCTGTGGGGTGCCTGTGGGGTGTCTGTGGGGTGTCTGTGTGGGGTGTCTGTGGGGGTGTCTGTGTGGGGTGTCTGTGTGGGGTGCCTGTGGGGTGTCTGTGGGGTGTCTGTGGGGTGTCTGTGGGGTGTCTGTGTGGGGTGTCTGTGTGGGGTGTCTGTGTGGGGGTGCCTGTGGGGTGCCTGTGGGGTGCCTGTGGGGTGTCTGTGTGGGGTGTCTGTGGGGGTGTCTGTGGGGTGTCTGTGGGGTGTCTGTGGGGTGTCTGTGTGGGGTGTCTGTGGGGTGTCTGTGGGGTGTCTGTGTGGGGTGTCTGTGGGGTGTCTGTGGGGTGCCTGTGGGGTGTCTGTGGGGTGTCTGTGTGGGGTGTCTGTGGGGGTGTCTGTGGGGTGTCTGTGTGGGGTGTCTGTGTGGGGTGTCTGTGGGGTGTCTGTGGGGTGTCTGTGGGGGGTGTCTGTGGGGTGCCTGTGGGGTGTCTGTGGGGTGTCTGTGTGGGGTGTCTGTGGGGTGTCTGTGTGGGGTGTCTGTGTGGGGTGTCTGTGGGGTGCCTGTGGGGTGTCTGTGGGGTGTCTGTGTGGGGTGTCTGTGGGGTGCCTGTGGGGTGTCTGTGGGGTGTCTGTGTGGGGTGTCTGTGGGGTGCCTGTGGGGTGTCTGTGGGGTGCCTGTGGGGTGTCTGTGGGGGTGCCTGTGGGGTGTCTGTGGGGTGTCTGTGTGGGGTGTCTGTGGGGTGCCTGTGGGGTGCTTGTGGGGTGTCTGTGTGGGGTGTCTGTGGGGTGTCTGTGGGGTGTCTGTGGGGTGTCTGTGTGGGGTGTCTGTGGGGTGTCTGTGTGGGGTGCCTGTGGGGTGCCTGTGGGGTGTCTGTGTGGGGTGTCTGTGGGGTGCCTGTGAGGTGCCTGTGGGGTGTCTGTGTGGGGTGTCTGTGGGGTGTCTGGGGTGTCTGTGGGGTGTCTGTGGGGTGTCTGTGGGGTGTCTGTGGGGTGTCTGTGGGGTGTCTGTGTGGGGTGTCTGGGTGTCTGGGGGGTGTCTGTGTGGGGTGTCTGTGGGGTGTCTGGGGTGTCTGTGGGGTGTCTGTGGGGTGTCTGTGGGGTGTCTGTGGGGTGCCTGTGGGGTGTCTGTGGGGTGTCTGTGTGGGGTGTCTGTGGGGTGTCTGTGGGGTGTGTGTGGGGTGCCTGTGGGGTGTCTGGGGGGTGTCTGTGGGGTGTCTGTGGGGTGTCTGTGTGGGGAGTCTGTGGGGTGCCTGTGGGGTGTCTGTGTGGGGTGTCTGTGGGGTGTCTGTGGGGTGTCTGTGGGGTGTCTGTGTGGGGTGTCTGTGGGGTGTCTGTGGGGTGCCTGTGGGGTGTCTGTGGGGTGTCTGTGTGGGGTGTCTGTGGGGTGTCTGTGGGGTGTGTGTGGGGTGCCTGTGGGGTGTCTGGGGGGTGTCTGTGGGGTGTCTGTGGGGTGTCTGTGTGGGGAGTCTGTGGGGTGCCTGTGGGGTGCCTGTGGGGTGTCTGTGTGGGGTGTCTGTGGGGTGTCTGTGGGGTGTCTGTGTGGGGTGTCTGTGGGGTGTCTGTGTGGGGTGCCTGTGGGGTGCCTGTGGGGTGTCTGTGTGGGGTGTCTGTGGGGTGCCTGTGGGGTGTCTGTGTGGGGGTGTCTGTGTGGGGTGTCTGGGGTGTCTGTGGGGTGTCTGTGGGGTGTCTGTGGGGTGTCTGTGTGGGGTGTCTGGGGGGTGTCTGTGGGGTGTCTGTGGGGTGTGTGGGGGGTGTGTGGGGGGGTGTCTGGGGTGTCTGGGGTGTGTCTGTGGGGTGTGTGTGGGGTGTCTGTGGGGTGTCTGTGGGGTGTGTGTGGGGTGTCTGTGGGGTGTCTGGGGTGTCTGTGGGGTGTCTGTGGGGTGTGTGTGGGGTGTGTGGGGGGGTGCCTGTGGGGTGCCTGTGGGGTGTCTGTGGGGTGTCTGTGGGGTGTGTGTGGGGTGTCTGGGGTGTCTGGGGGGTGTCTGTGTGGGGTGTCTGTGGGGTGTCTGGGGTGTCTGTGGGGTGTCTGTGTGGGGTGTCTGTGGGGTGCCTGTGGGGTGTCTGTGTGGGGTGTCTGGGGGGTGCCTGTGGGGTGCCTGTGGGGTGTCTGTGTGGGGTGTCTGTGGGGTGTCTGTGGGGTGTCTGTGTGGGGTGTCTGTGTGGGGTGTCTGTGGGGGTGCCTGTGGGGTGTCTGTGTGGGGTGTCTGGGGGGTGTCTGTGTGGGGTGTCTGTGGGGTGTCTGTGGGGTGTCTGTGTGGGGTGTCTGTGGGGTGTCTGTGGGGTGTCTGTGGGGTGTCTGTGGGGTGTCTGTGTGGGGTTGTCTGTGTGGGTTGTCTGTGGGGTGTCTGTGGGGTGTCTGTGGGGTGTCTGTGTGGGGTGTCTGTGGGGTGTCTGTGGGGTGTCTGTGGGGTGTCTGTGGGGGTGTCTGTGTGGGGTGTCTGTGGGGTGCCTGTGGGGTGTCTGTGGGGTGTCTGTGTGGGGTGCCTGTGGGGTGTCTGTGGGGTGTCTGTGGGGTGTCTGTGGGGTGTCTGTGTGGGGTGTCTGTGTGGGGTGTCTGTGTGGGGTGCCTGTGGGGTGCCTGTGGGGTGCCTGTGGGGTGTCTGTGTGGGGTGTCTGTGGGGTGTCTGTGGGGGTGTCTGTGGGGTGTCTGTGGGGTGTCTGTGTGGGGTGTCTGTGGGGTGTCTGTGGGGTGTCTGTGTGGGGTGTCTGTGGGGTGTCTGTGGGGGTGCCTGTGGGGGTGTCTGTGGGGTGTCTGTGTGGGGTGTCTGTGGGGTGTCTGTGGGGTGTCTGTGTGGGGTGTCTGTGTGGGGTGTCTGTGGGGTGTCTGTGGGGTGTCTGTGGGGGGTGTCTGTGGGGTGCCTGTGGGGTGTCTGTGGGGTGTCTGTGGGGGGTGTCTGTGGGGTGTCTGTGTGGGGTGTCTGTGTGGGGTGTCTTGTGGGGTGCCTGTGGGGTGTCTGTGGGGTGTCTGTGTGGGGTGTCTGTGGGGTGCCTGTGGGGTGTCTGTGGGGTGTCTGTGTGGGGTGTCTGTGGGGTGCCTGTGGGGTGTCTGTGGGGTGTCTGTGTGGGGTGTCTGTGGGGTGTCTGTGGGGTGCCTGTGGGGTGTCTGTGTGGGGTGTCTGTGGGGTCTGTGGGGGTGTCTGTGTGGGGTGTCTGTGTGGGGTGTCTGTGGGGTGTCTGTGGGGTGTCTGTGGGGTGTCTGTGTGGGGTGTCTGTGGGGTGCCTGTGGGGTGTCTGTGGGGTGTCTGTGTGGGGTGCCTGTGGGGTGTCTGTGGGGTGTCTGTGTGGGGTGTCTGTGGGGTGTCTGTGGGGTGTCTGTGTGGGGTGTCTGTGGGGTGCCTGTGGGGTGTCTGTGGGGTGTCTGTGTGGGGTGTCTGTGGGGTGTCTGTGTGGGGTGTCTGTGGGGTGTCTGTGGGGTGTCTGTGTGGGGTGTCTGTGGGGTGTCTGTGGGGTGTCTGTGTGGGGTGTCTGTGGGGTGCCTGTGGGGTGCCTGTGGGGTGTCTGTGTGGGGTGTCTGTGGGGTGTCTGTGGGGTGTCTGTGTGGGGTGTCTGTGTGGGGTGTCTGTGGGGTGCCTGTGGGGTGCCTGTGGGGTGTCTGTGTGGGGTGTCTGTGGGGTGTCTGTGGGGTGTCTGTGTGGGGTGTCTGTGGGGTGCCTGTGGGGTGTCTGTGGGGTGTCTGTGTGGGGGTGTCTGTGGGGTGTCTGTGTGGGGTGCCTGTGGGGTGCCTGTGGGGTGTCTGTGTGGGGTGTCTGTGGGGTGCCTGTGGGGTGTCTGTGTGGGGTGTCTGTGTGGGGTGTCTGGGGGTGTCTGTGGGGGTGTCTGTGGGGTGTCTGTGGGGTGTCTGTGTGGGGTGTCTGGGGGGTGTCTGTGGGGTGTCTGTGGGGTGTGTGGGGGGTGTGTGGGGGGTGTCTGGGGTGTCTGGGGGGTGTCTGTGGGGTGTCTGTGTGGGGTGTCTGTGGGGTGTCTGTGGGGTGTGTGTGGGGTGTCTGTGGGGTGTCTGGGGGTGTCTGTGGGGTGTCTGTGGGGTGTGTGGGGGGTGCCTGTGGGGTGCCTGTGGGGTGTCTGTGGGGTGTCTGTGGGGTGTCTGTGGGGTGTCTGGGGTGTCTGGGGGGTGTCTGTGTGGGGTGTCTGTGGGGTGTCTGGGGTGTCTGTGGGGTGTCTGTGTGGGGTGTCTGTGGGGGTGCCTGTGGGGTGTCTGTGTGGGGTGTCTGGGGGGTGCCTGTGGGGTGCCTGTGGGGTGTCTGTGTGGGGTGTCTGTGGGGTGTCTGTGTGGGGTGTCTGTGGGGTGTCTGTGGGGTGTCTGTGGGGTGTCTGTGTGGGGTGTCTGTGGGGTGTCTGTGGGGTGTCTGTGGGGTGTCTGTGTGGGTGTCTGTGGGGTGCCTGTGGGGTGTCTGTGGGGTGTCTGTGTGGGGGTGTCTGTTGTGGGGTGCCTGTGGGGTGTCTGTGGGGTGTCTGTGGGGTGTCTGTGGGGTGTCTGTGTGGGGTGTCTGTGTGGGGTGTCTGTGTGGGGTGCCTGTGGGGTGCCTGTGGGGTGCCTGTGGGGTGTCTGTGTGGGGTGTCTGTGGGGGTGTCTGTGGGGTGTCTGTGGGGTGTCTGTGGGGTGTCTGTGTGGGGTGTCTGTGGGGTGTCTGTGGGGGTGTCTGTGTGGGGGTGTCTGTGGGGTGTCTGTGGGGTGCCTGTGGGGGTGTCTGTGGGGTGTCTGTGTGGGGTGTCTGTGGGGTGTCTGTGGGGTGTCTGTGTGGGGTGTCTGTGGGGTGTCTGTGGGGTGCCTGTGGGGTGTCTGTGGGGTGTCTGTGGGGTGTCTGTGGGGTGTCTGTGGGGTGTCTGTGTGGGGTGTCTGTGGGGTGTCTGTGGGGTGTCTGTGTGGGGTGTCTGTGGGGTGTCTGTGGGGTGCCTGTGGGGTGTCTGTGGGGTGTCTGTGTGGGGTGTCTGTGGGGTGTCTGTGGGGTGTCTGTGTGGGGTGTCTGTGGGGTGTCTGTGGGGTGCCTGTGGGGTGTCTGTGGGGTGTCTGTGTGGGGTGTCTGTGGGGTGCCTGTGGGGTGTCTGTGGGGTGTCTGTGTGGGGTGTCTGTGGGGTGTCTGTGTGGGGTGTCTGTGTGGGGTGTCTGTGGGGTGCCTGTGGGGTGTCTGTGGGGTGTCTGTGTGGGGTGTCTGTGGGGTGTCTGGGGTGTCTGTGGGGTGTCTGTGGGGTGTCTGTGTGGGGTGTCTGTGGGGTGTCTGTGGGGTGTCTGTGTGGGGTGTCTGTGGGGTGTCTGTGGGGTGCCTGTGGGGTGTCTGTGGGGTGTCTGTGTGGGGTGTCTGTGGGGTGTCTGTGTGGGGTGTCTGTGGGGTGTCTGTGGGGTGTCTGTGTGGGGTGTCTGTGGGGTGTCTGTGGGGTGCCTGTGGGGTGTCTGTGGGGTGTCTGTGTGGGGTGTCTGTGGGGTGCCTGTGGGGTGTCTGTGGGGTGTCTGTGTGGGGTGTCTGTGGGGTGTCTGTGTGGGGTGTCTGTGTGGGGTGTCTGTGGGGTGCCTGTGGGGTGTCTGTGGGGTGTCTGTGTGGGGTGTCTGTGGGGTGTCTGTGTGGGGTGTCTGTGGGGTGTCTGTGGGGTGTCTGTGTGGGGTGCCTGTGGGGTGTCTGTGGGGTGTCTGTGTGGGGTGTCTGTGGGGTGTCTGTGGGGTGTCTGTGGGGTGTCTGTGTGGGGTGTCTGTGGGGTGTCTGTGGGGGGTTTCTGTGGGGTGTGTGTGGGGTGTCTGTGGGGTGTCTGTGGGGTGTCTGTGGGGTGTCTGTGGGGGGTGTCTGTGGGGTGTCTGTGTGGGGTGTCTGGGGGTGTCTGTGTGGGGTGTCTGGGGTGTCTGTGGGGGGTGTCTGTGGGGTGTCTGGGGGGTGTCTGTGGGGTGTGTGGGGGGTGTCTGGGGGGTGTCTGTGGGGTGTGTGGGGGGTGTCTGGGGGGTGTCTGTGGGGTGTCTGGGGGGTGTCTGTGGGGGGGTGTCTGTGGGGGGTGTCTGTGGGGTGCCTGTGGGGTGTCTGTGGGGTGTCTGTGTGGGGTGTCTGTGGGGTGTCTGTGTGGGGTGTCTGTGGGGTGTCTGTGGGGTGTCTGTGTGGGGTGCCTGTGGGGTGTCTGTGGGGTGTCTGTGTGGGGTGTCTGTGGGGTGTCTGTGGGGTGTCTGTGGGGTGTCTGTGTGGGGTGTCTGTGGGGTGCCTGTGGGGTGTCTGTGGGGTGTCTGTGTGGGGTGTCTGTGGGGTGTCTGTGTGGGGTGTCTGTGGGGTGTCTGTGGGGTGTCTGTGGGGTGTCTGTGTGGGGTGTCTGTGGGGTGTCTGTGGGGTGTCTGTGGGGTGTCTGTGTGGGGTGTCTGTGGGGTGTCTGTGGGGTGTCTGGGGTGTGGGGGGGTGTCTGTGGGGTGTCTGTGTGGGGTGTGTGTGGGGTGTCTGGGGGGTGTCTGGGGGGTGTCTGGGGTCTGTGTGGGGTGTCTGTGGGGTGTCTGTGGGGTGTCTGTGGGGTGTCTGTGTGGGGTGTCTGTGGGGTGTCTGTGGGGTGTCTGTGGGGTGTCTGGGGTGTGGTGGGGTGTCTGTGGGGTGTCTGTGTGGGGTGTGTGTGGGGTGTGTGGGGGGTGTCTGTGGGGTGTCTGTGGGGTGTCTGTGGGGTGTCTGTGTGGGGTGTGTGTGGGGTGTCTGTGGGGTGTGTGGGGGGTGTCTGGGGGGTGTCTGGGGGGTGTCTGTGGGGTGTCTGTGGGGTGTCTGGGGTGTCTGGGGGGTGTCTGTGGGGTGTCTGTGGGGTGTGTGTGGGGTGTCTGGGGGGTGTGGGGGGTGTCTGTGGGGTGTCTGTGTGGTGTCTGTGGGGAGTGTGGGGGGTGTCTGTGGGGTGTCTGTGGGGAGTGTGGGGGGTGTCTGGGGGGTGTCTGTGGGGTGTCTGGGGGGTGTGGGGGGTGTCTGGGGGGTGTCTGTGGGGGGTGTCTGTGGGGTGTCTGTGTGGTGTCTGTGGGGAGTGTGGGGGGTGTCTGTGGGGTGTCTGTGGGGTGTGTGTGGGGAGTGTGGGGGGTGTCTGTGGGGTGTCTGTGGGGTGTGTGTGGGGAGTGTGGGGGGTGTCTGTGGGGTGTCTGTGGGGTGTCTGTGGGGTGTCTGTGGGGGGTGTCTGTGGGGTGTCTGTGTGGGGTGTCTGGGGTGTCTGTGTGCGGTGTCTGGGGTGTCTGTGGGGGGTGTCTGTGGGGTGTCTGGGGGGTGTCTGTGGGGTGTGTGGGGGGGTGTCTGGGGGGTGTCTGGGGGGTGTCTGGGGGGTGTGTGTGGGGAGTGTGGGGGTGTCTGTGGGGTGTGTGTGGGGAGTGTGGGGGGTGTCTGTGGGGGGCGGGGGAGCGGCGGGGGGTCGATGGGGGCGCGTGCCCCCCCCCCCCCCCCCCCCGCCCCAGCCGACGTGGTCTGTGCGTGCGTCGCGGGTCGCAGAGGCGCTGCTGCTGGAGGGGGTGACGCTGGCGCTGGACGCCCGGCAGCTGAACGGCTCGGAGCGCGCCGTGCTGGACGGGCTGCTCACCGCGGACGAGTGCGGGGCGCTGCTGCGGCTGGCCAAGGCAAGCGCGGCCGGGGTGCTGCGGCCACGTCGCGGGGTGCTGCGGCCACGTCGCGGGGTGCTGCGGCCACGGCCGGGGTGCTGCGGCCACGTCGCGGGGTGCTGCGGCCACGTCGCGGGGTGCTGCGGCCCGGCCCGGGGTGCTGCGGCCCGCGGGCGCCTGGTCCGGCCGCCCCGCGCTGGTGCGCATGCGCTGTCTCATTCCTTTTCCTCTGCCGTCCCGGGGCTCGAACCCAGAACCTGGGCGCCGTCCATGGTGGGCGGCAGCAGCCGGGCGCTCTACCGCCCGCGCCACGCCTCTGCCCCCAGCTTTTCTGGTGGCTCATTGTTAATAGAAAGCTCCCGGCGTCCTCTGCCCAGGGCGGCTTTGAACTCTAGTCCTCGCGCTCATTCTCCCGAGGAGCTAGACGCACACGTAGGAGCCACCGACGCCCTGCTAGAGCCTCGCGCTAGGTCGGTACTCAATTCATGCACAAGCGAGTACCGGCTGTGTCGCAGAAACTTCTAGAACGTACTCCCAGAGCGGCCTTGAGTGAATCTCTCCAACGTTTGGCCTTGAACCGTGATCCTCCTGATGTCCAAGGGCTCCCCGCCCTCCACCTCCTCCTCCTGGGTGGCTGGCTTTTAGGGCAGTGACCCACGATGCCGGGCCCTGAGCCAGACAGACAGACAGAGGTGTGCTGGACGTTGCTCTAATGCCAGCTACTCAGGAGGCCGAGGGCAGCATTGGCCACAGAGAGACCTGCGTCCCCACACAGCCAACAGCGCTGGGCCTTGGTGGCTCATGCCTGTAACACCAGCTTCTCAGGAGACGGATCTGAGCAGCCTGCTGGCTTCGGGATATGCCGCCGCAGACTATAAAGAGGAAGGGAAAAAAATGAGATACATCACCATATTCTCGAGATAGAATGATATATACATTATATAGTATATAGAGCTAATTGTATATTGTATGTGATGGATGTACTATACATCGTATTAATATTTAATATCGATAATTATACACACATTCATATTATATATGAAATTACGTGTTTAAATTACATAGTATGTGTTTTATATATGATATGCACGTAATGCATAATATGTAATATATAAAATATATATTATGTGTATATTATGTAATATACATAATATGTAGTATATAAATACGTGTTATGTATATATACTATACTCCATATACTAGTATTATATGTATTAGTGTATATAATACATAATATACTATATATCATATAGTATATACTGTACATAATATAATATGTAACAATATATGCATATAATATGACATTTTATATGCATATTATATAACATGTAATACATGTATACACTAGTATATATTACGTTATATACATACATATTACATTATATATAATATGTATTATATTACATATATTTTATATATGCATACATATATTATGTAACGTAATATATACTAGTGTATATGTACTATATAAGTATATAATACTAGTACTATATATCATATGTATGCATAATATGTGTATTGTAAATGTTATATATAATACTAGAGAGAAAGAAGAGGGAAGACGGAAAGCCTAGTGGAAGGCCCGTCCTCCATGTCTGCTGGGGCCTGGAGCGCCCTCTAGTGGCTGTTTGGAAAAACTCACTAGGAAGAGAGCGAAGGAAGGAGGGGCCATTGTCCAAAAGGAAGTGAACCTTCCCTGACTTAGGGCACTGTCGCTCCACTATAGCTCAGGGACGGCGCCAGGCCCAGAGTTCAAGCCCCAGGACCTTGTGTAGCTATATGCTAATACAAATGTTTAGCTGGGCACCAGTGGCTCCCGCCTGTCATCCCAGCTACTCAGGAGGTTGAGATCTGAGGATCACGGTTCAAAGCCAGCTCGGGCAGGAACATCTGTGGGCCTCTTATTGCCAAGAAACCACCAGAAAACCAGGAGTGGCGCTGTGGCTCAAGTGGTAGAGCACCAGCCTGGAACTGAAGAGCTGAGGGACAGCTCTGGGCTCAGGCCCAGAGTTCAAGCCCCATAATCGACCAAAAAAAGCTTCCAGCATCGGGGGTGGGGGGGAGGGAGTGTCTCCCAGCCTTGTGGGGAGTGAGGTGGGCTGGCCAAGTACCCCTAGGGTGAACTTCCTCTCTGTTTAGGACGCGGCTGGGGCTGGAGCCAGGTCTGGCTACCGTGGTCGCCGGTCCCCCCACACCCCCCATGAGTATTTCGAGGGGCTCACGGTGCTGAAGGCGGCCCAGGTGAGACGAGGCGTGCCCCCCCCCCCTGGCTTGGCCTGGGAGTGGAGGGGAGAGTGGGCCCAGGGGTCTGTGGAGGAATTTTCCCAGGACTGAGGATACTGGGGTCCCATCCTTGGGTTGGGAGCCCTAGATATTGTCACAGAGCTACTGGATGGAAAGGACAGCTGGGTTGATGGGGGGGAGATCAGGTTGCCGGGCGTGGTAGTGCACACCTGTCATCCCAGCTACTCAGGAGGCTGAGATCTGAGGATCCTAGTTCAAAGCCAGCCCAGGCAGGAAAGCCCATGAGACTCTGATCTCCAGTGAATCCGCAGAAAACCAGAAGCAGCGCTGTGGCTCAAGTGGTAGAGCGCCAGCCTCGAGCTGAAGAGCTGAGGGACAGCGCCCAGGCCCTGAGTTCAAGCCCCACGACCGACACACACAAAGGGTGGAAGGCAGTGGAGGCAGCAGACAAAATAGAGGCTGGGACCCCCCCTTCCAGTGTCTGCCTTCTTTCCCCAGCTGGCCAGGGCGGGGAGTGTGGGGAGCCAGGGCGTAAGGCTCCTTCTAGAAGCGGGTGAGCGCGTGAGGAAGGTGACGCAGGCCTACTTCTCCCCGGAGCGACCCCTGCACCTCTCCTTCACCCACCTGGTGTGCCGCAGTGCTGTCGAAGGTAACGGGACCCCCGCCGCCCGATCCCGGCCCCCCAAGTCTTTGCGAGTCTCCACACTGCCTGTCCTGCCCAAAGGAGACCCCAGGAGCTGGAGGGGACGTGGGGGAAACGCATAGAACATCACCCCACCCCATTGCGTCCTAGGGGAGCAAGATCAGCGCATGGATCTGAGCCACCCTGTCCACGCTGACAACTGTATCCTGGACCCCGACACCGGGGAGTGCTGGCCAGAGCCCCCAGCCTACACCTACCGAGACTACAGGTGGGTGGCGCCCTGCCCGGTCTGACAGTGGATAGGGAGGGCACAGGATCTCATTGCTGCTGCTATTACTATTACTATTATTGCTATTGTTATTATTATTTTGGTGCTGGTCCTGGGGCTTGAACTCAGGGCCTGGGTGCTGTCCCTAAGCTGCTTTTGCTCAAGGCTAGCGCTCTGCCGCTTGAGCCACAGCTCCACTTCTGGCTTTTTGGTGGTTCCTTGGAGATCAGACTCCCAGTCTGGCAGAGTTTCCCACCCAGGCCGGCTTTGAGCCTGGGTCCTCAGATCTCAGTCTTCTGTGTAGCTGGGATTACAGGCGTGTGCACCAGTGCCTGGCTCATGGCTGCCTGTTTTCTCCGCAGTGGCCTTCTCTACCTCAACGATGACTTTAAAGGGGGGGACCTGTTCTTCACGCAGCCCAACGCGCTCACTGTCACGGTAGGGGGGTTGGGGTGTGGGTGTTGAGGGGGTGGGGCTGTGGTGGGGGGTGTAGGGCTGACAAGAGGGCTCAGTGCTGAGCTCAGGATTCAAAGCAGATTTCCAGAGGCAAATGCAGGAAAATAGCTTGGGTCATCTTAACCCCTTTCCTCCTGCCTCTCTACATGTCCTGGTCTGCTGGCTGTTGGCAGACATTTTCTTTCTTGTGTCGGTCGTGGAGCTTGAACTTGGGGCCTGGGCGCTGTCCCTCAGCTCTTCAGCTCAAGGCGGGTGCTCTACCCCTTGAGCCACAGCGCCACTTCTGGTTTTCTGAGTGGTTTATTGGGGATCAGAGTCTCATGGATTTTCCTGCCCGGGCTGGCTTTGAATTGTGATCCTCAGATCTCAGCCTCCTGAGTAGCTGGGATGACAGGTGTGAGCCACCGGTGCCCGGCTGGCAGACTTTTCTAGCCCCCTGGGAGATGTCTAAGTTCCTCCCCGCAGACCCTGCCTTGGCGGATTGGGTTTGGCTCATCTCCTAAAGGAGAGGCCGTATAGCCGTTGCTGCCGTGAGACCTGTAGTCTCAGCTACTTGCTGGGCTACAAAGTGAACCCCCATCTCAACATCAATCAAAAAGCAGGGCATTAGTAGCTGGGCATCAGCGGCTCAGCCTGTCATCCTAGCTACTCCGGAGACAGAGATCTGAGGATCATGGTTCAAAGCCAGCCTGAGCAAAGAAAGTCTGTGAGACTCTTACCTCCAATGAACCACCAGAAAACCAGAGGTGGCACTGTGGCTCAAGTGGTAGAGCGCTTGCCTTGAGCAGAAGAAGCTCAGGGAAGCCGGGCACTGGTGGCTCCCGCCTGTAATCCTAGCTACTCAGGAGGCTGAGATCTGAGGATCTCGGTTCAAAGCCAGCCCGGGCAGGAGAGACCGTGAGACTCCTATCTCCAATAAACCACCAGAAAACCGGAAGTGGCGCTGTAGCTCAAGTGGTAGAGTGCTCGCCTTGAGCTGAAGAGCTGAGGGACAGCGCCCAGGCCCAGAGTTCAAGCCCCACGACTGACCCAATAAGAGTCTCATGGACTGTTTGGCCTGGGCTGGCATCCAATGTGGATGCCTAGTATTAATAAGTAATATTAATACATAACTAATAATTCATGAGTATTAATAAGTAATAAGTTTATTCCTGTCTTATGGAAATTTCTAGAGATGCATCACAGCCTAGAAATGGGCAAAAGGAATGGCACAATTCAGGAATGTTCCTGAATTGAAGGGTGGGAAGGAAGCCCGTGGCTCCCGCTTGTCACCCCAGCTACTCAGGAGGCTGAGATCTGAGGATCAGGGTTCGAAGCCAGCCCAGGCAGGAAAGTCCAGGAGACTCTGATCTCCAAATGAACCACCAGAAAACCGGTAGTGGCGCTGTGGTTCCAGTGGTAGAGCGCCGAAAGGGACGGCACCCAGACCCTGAGTTCAAACCCCAGGACTGGCACAAATAATAATAGTTAAGTGTGGAAGTGACCCTTGACCTCTGGCCTTTGCCCACTGACCCTTTTTGCCCCTGCCCCCCTCCCACTCCCAGGCTCAGGTTCGGCCGCGCTGCGGTCGCCTGGTGGCCTTCAGCTCTGGCGGGGACAATCCCCACGGGGTGTGGGCCGTGACCCGCGGTCGGCGCTGCGCCCTGGCGCTGTGGCACACGTGGGCCCCGGAGCACCGGGAGCAGGTGAGGAGGAGCAGGGGAGGACGGTGGGAATCGGAGCAGGCAGGAGCCTCAGCCGGGTGGGCACGTGGGCCACATTCTCCTTCACCCCGCAGGAGTGGACAGAAGCCAAAGAATTGCTGCAGAAGCTAAAGGAGGAGGAGGAGGAGGAGGAAGAGGAGGAGGAGGAGGAAGAGGAGGAGGAGGAGGAGGAGGAAGAAACGCCAGGCAGAGACCCTTTCCCAGAACCCCCCAGCCACAAACTTCAACGTGTGCAAGAAACAAACGCGGAGCCACGGAGGGCCCGAGAGGAGCTGTGAGTGGCCGAGCCAGCTGCGCGGGTCCTGGGCCTCGCAAGCCGGAGAAGGACCCATGAGAAGCATCCAGCAGGATGCCATCTTGGGAATCTCTCAGATCTGCCCTCATCAAACACCGCTTGGATGTCACCCAGCGCTTCTGGGGCCCGGCCCCCCCCTCCAGACCCACAGATCTTGGACAGACAGACATGACGCCTCCCTAGGGAAGAAATGACAAAGGAGGGGAGGGGGGGAAAGAGGCCGATGGCGTGAACTTTTAGCCTGATGCTGGTAGCTGTCATCCCAGCTATTCAGGAGGCTGAGATCTGAGGATCGCAGCCGGAGGCCCAGTCTGTGAGACTCTTGTCTGCAGAAAGCACGCCACGGGAATAGAGTTGTGGTGTGGTTCAAGTGTTCAGCACCCAGGCTCTGAGTTCAAATCCCAGCACCTGCACACGACAAATCATTTTTATTCGCTCTGCCAATCTCTGCACTAAAGACCTGAACAGCCTCGCTCTGGTGTGTCTGTGCTTTCTGTGGCTCACTCGGGAGGGGACAGGTGTCCGGTGTCGCCACCAGGGGCGTGAAGTGTCCCTGGAGTCTGATTTGTCAGGGAAATCTCAGGCACCTGCTCCTGCATGCAAATGGATGGAGGGATGGATCTCTCTCTCTCTCTCTCTCTCTCTCTCTCTCTCTCTCTCTCTCTCTCTCTCTCTCCCCCCCCCCCCCTACACCCTCACAATGGCTCCCTGGGCCTCTTTTCTGCCCATCTCCCCTCTGCTGAGTTTGGCTAGAAGGGGCAGCCTTGAACCCTTTGGGGTTCCCGCTGTGAATCCTGGGAGCAAAGCCGAGGGCCAGGCTTTGCTGGGTTTCCTTTGTAATCCTTTTCTCTCTCCAAAGCTCGGGGAGGTGACCAGTGTCTCTCACCCCTCCTCCCCTCCCCTCTGCCCCCCCTTTACTCCTCCCTACCACCACCAGCCCCCCCACACACCCCAGGATCAAGCCCAGGGGGGCAGCTGGTTAGAGTTTGTCCAGAAGGATTATCCAATTCAGTCTCTTCTAATCCCTCCCGGATTTCTAGGCCTTCTTTCCCCTCCATCAAGGAAGGGGTGTGTGTGTCACAATTTGGGGTGCAGACCCCATTCACCTATCACCACCTCCCTGATTCCTGAGCAGGCCCTGAAAGCCAAATTCATGACCAGAGTGAGGACCAAGGTGGCAGGGGAGAGGGGGAGGGGGTCGCGAGGGAGGGGGAGGCCTCTGCCTCTCTACCCCCACACACACCCCAACCCCAGGCTGTAATCCTCACGGCTTAGCTTGATGCTCTGATCTCTGCCAATTGTAGGGGGCTCTCCCCCGTTCCAGCATGCCCCCACCCTTTCCCCCCCCTCCTGCTGCCCTCCCCTCCCCACCCCTGCTGGCTGATTTCATTTGCTTAACGTGGGGTGTGGTTATTGGGGTGCTCCCTCCCCAGGCCAGGCCGGTACCTCGGCATCCCAGCTGCAGCTGCAAAGAGACACTGAGGAATCGGAGCTGGAAATCGGGGAGACATCCAGCTAGAACCCAAGTAAGTGGGAGCTGGGTCTCCCTGCCCCCTCCCCCCACCTGCCCCAGCTCTGCCCTGGGGTGGCAGGGCTGCGGGGAGGGCTTAGAGCTGGGTGCTTGGGACTGTGTCCAGGAGCGGGGAGGGGTGAAGGAGCCCCCCAAGACCGTCACTCCCCCATTTATCCCAGTGGAAAGGGATGTGAAGGGTAGAAACGTGGCTGGTAAGAGAATTCCCCCAACTCTGGGGGCTCCTGCCTGTCATCCCAGCAAACTCGGGAGGCTGAGACCGGAGGATCGAACTTGGAGGCCAGCTTGGGGAGGAAAGTCTGTGAGGCTCTTACCTCCAAAGAGCTGCCCCCCCTCGCCCCCCAGAAAACACACAGCTATGGCTCCGGTGGTAGAACGCCAGCCTTGGACAGAAAAAGCTCAGGAGCAGTGTTCCGGCCCTGAGTTCAAACCCCAGGACGGGCACCCAAGCAAAGGAAAGAGATTGCTACATGAAGGGCTCTGTATCCCCCACCCCGTGTGTTCTGGTAGGAGTGCAAGGCACCCCTGGACCTGTCCGCCATGGGGGAGATGGAGCAACTGAGGCAGGAAGCGGAACAGCTCAAGAAACAGATCTCAGTAACCGCCCCCCCCCAAGCTCCCAGTGGGGACCCCTCCACCCCCCCCCCCAGGAAACAGATCGGAAGTCTTCAGGGGAGACAGCGAGGGGGGGAGGGGGAGGGCCCCCTCCACCCTCTCCCCCACCTCCAAGCGCCTGGGGAATTTGGCCTCGGATTTGAGATACAAGCACCCCCCCCCACCTACTGTACCCCCCACCCCTGAAGGCTGCTTTCCCCCCCTCAGGAAGCCAGGAAAGCCTGCGCAGATAGCACCCTGGCTGAGGTGAGCTCCCCACACCTTTTGTCTCTGGCCCTGAGGCTGGGTGTGTGGGGGAGGGGGGAAGGGAGGGCGGGGAAGAAAGCTGGGAATGAATGAATTCAACAACTTTCTGTGAGAGACCAACCCCCCCCCCCCAACCTTCCTGGGAAGGACACAGTGGAAGCGGGGAGAAGGTCCATGCAGAAGCGTCCTTAATGGCTTGTTTGCTCCTGGCCGGTGCTCTACCACTTGAGCCATGCTTCCTGTCCGACATTTTGCTGGTGGCTTGGAGAAATGAGTCTCGCAGACTTGGCTGCCCAGGTTGGCTTTGAATTAAGGTTTTCCAAGTTTCAGCCTCCTGGGTGAGCTAAGATTACAGGTGTGAGCCACCAGTGCCCTGCAGACGTACAGGTCTCTGAAATCAAGGTGTGTCTGTTGCTGGATGATAGTTTACATCACCACATAATTGGTGGTTTTTCCCTCCCTCCCTCCCCCCTCTTCTCTCTCTCTCTCTCTCTTCCTCTCTTTTTGATACTGGTCCTGGGGCTTGAACTCAGGGCCTGGGTTCTGTCACTGAGCCTGATTTGCACAAGGCTAGCGCTCTACCACTTGAGCCACAGCGCCACTTCTGGCTTTTTGTTTGTTTTTATTTGTTTTATTGGAGATCAGAGTCTCCTGGACTTTCCTGCCTGGGCTGGCTTTGATCTCAGCCTCCTGAGTAGCTGGGATTACAGGTCTGAGCCACCGGCGCCCGGGTCTTTCCTGTGGTGTGCTTCTTAGACTCAGTGATGGCGTCTTAGACCCCATTAAATATATTAATATGAGCTAAACTGGTGACAGCTCGGACCTGTCATCCCAGCTACTCAAGAGCCTGAGATCTGAGGATCATGATTCAAAGCCAGACCAGGCAGGAAAGTCCAGGAGACTCTGATCTCCAATGAACCAACAAAAAGCCAGAACTGGAGGTGTAGCTCAAGCAGTAGAGCAACAGCCTTAATTTTTTTAAAAAGCCAAGCAACAGTTTAAAAACCTGAGTTCAAGCCCCAGTACTGACATACACACACACACAAAAGTTAATATGTTCATAAAACAGCCAGGTGCCAGTGGCTCATGCCTTTAATCCCAGCTACTCAAGAGGATAAGATCAAGATTGGGGTTTGAAGCCAGCTCTGGGTAGGAAAGTCCTCAAGACTCCATCTCCCAATTTGCTAGCAAAAAGCTGGGAATGGAGCGTGGTTCAAGTGGTAGAGTGCCAACAGAGCAAGGTAAGCTGACCGAGTGTGAGGTCTTCAGCTCGATTCCTGGGCCTGGTCAGGGAAAAAATATATATATAGCAACATTCCTATAGTTGAAATAATAGAAGTGGTTTGCATAATTTAATTCTAACATGTATATAAGTCTACTATATAGTTTTATATAACTATATCGATAATGTTCAGGACAACCGTAGATCTGTGATAAAGTTCATGGCTCACCTGGAGGAGTTGGACTTAGAGTTGAATAATTTACTCAAGATAACAAATCAAGTGGGGCTGGGCAGGTGGCTCAGTGGTAGAGCGCTTGCCTCGCATGCATGAGGCCCTGGGTTCGATTCCTCAGCACCACATAAGCAGAAAAAGCCAGAAGTGGCGCTGTGGCTCAAGGGGTAGAGCGCCAGCCTTGAGTTGAAGAGCTGAGGGACAGCGCCCAGGCCCAGAGTTCAAGCCCCACGACTGGCACAAAGAGACAGAGAAGAAAAAGCAAGCCCCTGTGGCCTGAGCAGGCCACGCATGCGCCTTTCTCCTCAAGTTCAAGGGCAGGGTGACCTTGGCCGAGGATGGGAGCCTTTATTTGTCCCATTGAGCAATGTGTCACCAGCGAACCAGCCATCCAAGTCCTACCAGGAGGGGGGGGGGCTCATCCTGGCGTCCAGTGCCCCCCCCGGGGCCTGTAACACCCCACTTTCTCTGCAGCTGGTGTCTGGCCTAGAGGTCGTGAGCCGCATCCAGATGCGGACCCGGCGGACGCTCAGGGGTCACCTGGCCAAGATCTATGCCATGCACTGGGCCACCGACTCCAAGTGAGGCCAGAGAAGGTTCTAGAAGGGAGGGGGAGTGGGGGGGGAGGCAGGGGGCGTGACTTGGGGTGCTCTCTCCCCAGGCTGCTCGTAAGCGCGTCGCAGGACGGGAAATTGATTGTGTGGGATACGTATACCACCAACAAGGTACCAACCCTGTCCCCCCCATCCTGTCATACCATCCCCCCCCCCCTCCTGGCTTCCCTCCCCCCCAATGCCCAACCCCTGCCGGTCCACCTCGGAGCTAGCTCACGTTTCCCTCTGCAGGTTCACGCCATTCCACTGCGCTCCTCCTGGGTAATGACCTGTGCGTATGCTCCATCCGGGAACTTCGTGGCCTGCGGTGGGCTGGACAACATGTGTTCCATCTATAACCTCAAATCCCGAGAGGGGAACGTCAAGGTCAGCCGGGAGCTCTCGGCTCACACAGGTAAGAGCACCGCACCACCCGCCTGTAATCCCAGCCACTCCAGGGGCCATAGGATCTGAGGATTGTGATGTGAAGCCAGGCCCTCGGACTGGAAGGGATTGTGAGACTCTTAATCTCCCATGAGCCAGCAAAAGAAAAAGCCAGACATGGAGCCGTGGCTCAAGTGGTAAAGCGCCAACCTTCAAAAAAAAAAAGCTCAAGTTCTGAGTTCAAATCCTAGGAGGGGGACAAATACAGAAACCCTGTCTCCTCACCCAGAGACACTGTCCTTGTAGGTTATCTGTCCTGCTGTCGCTTCCTGGATGACAATAACATCGTGACCAGCTCAGGAGACACAACATGGTAAGGGTTGAAAGTTGGGGTGCCAGGGCTGGGAAGTGACACCCCGAGCCAGGCCTGTGGGGTCGTTGTCCTCACCGCCTTCCTCCCCGCCCGCAGCGCCCTCTGGGACATCGAGACGGGACAGCAGAAAACCGTGTTTGTGGGGCACACCGGCGACTGCATGAGTCTGGCCGTGTCCCCCGACTACAAGCTCTTCATCTCGGGGGCCTGCGACGCCACCGCCAAACTGTGGGACGTGCGCGAGGGGACATGTCGCCAGACCTTCACCGGCCACGAGTCGGACATCAATGCCATCTGTGTGAGTGCCACCCCCAAACCCCACACACCCTCCCACGGACTCGAACTCAGGACCCAGGCACTGTTCCTTAGTCTCATTAGCCCAGGCGCCTGTCATCCCAGCCACTCAGGAGGCTGAGCTCTGAGGATCGTGGTTCAAAGCCAGCCCAGGCAGGAAAGTCCCTGAGGCTGGCCTCGAACCATGATCCTCAGAGCTCAGCCTCCTGAGTAGCTTGGATGACAGGCGGGAGCCACCAGTGCCTGGCTGGGGAGTTAAGGATTTTAGAGTACGTTCTGTGTGTGTGGAAGGGGGGTTCCTGGGCCTTAAACACAGTGTGTGCGTGCTGTGACTTTGTTTGCTCAAGGCTGGTGCTCTACCACTAGAGCCACAGCTCCACTTCCAGGTTTTTGGTGGTTCATTGGAGATAAGCGTCACATGGTCTTTCTTGTCCAGGCTGACTTCAAACTGTGATCCTCAGATCTCAGCTCCTGAGAAGAGCCGTTGGTGCCCAATTGAGCTTTTTCTTGTCTGTGCGTGTGTGTGTTTGTGTGTGTGGTTTTTTTTCCCCCATGCTGGTCCTGGGACTTGAACTCAGGGCCTGGGCACTGTGCCTGAGCTTTTGTTTGTTCAAGGATGGTGCTCTACCACTTGAGCCACAGCTTCCCTTCTGACTTTTGCTGGTTTGTGAGTGATGAGTCTCAGACTTTCCTGCCCGCACTGGCTTTGAGCCATAATCCTCAGATCTCAACCTCCTGAGTAGCTGGGATTACAGGTGTGACCACCAACACCCAAATTCACCCCCATTTTCCCCCATAGCTGATACTACCTTGTTAGGCCATTTGGATCACTTTGGGGCTTGCCCCAGTAGTTACCAGGATTCTAGATACTTCTGTCCCATAGGGCTCTGGGGCAACCATGGTACCCCGCCTGGCAACTTGGCCGAGATGATTGTTCCCCACGCTTGAGGGTAGGCTTTGGTGGGCACGCCTATAATCCCAGCCACTCAGGAAGCTGAGATCTGAGGATTCTGATAGGAAGCCAGTCCCTGAGACTGAATCTCCAATGAGTCGCCAAAAAGCTAGAAGTGGAGACGTGGTTCAAATGGTAGAGCACCAGCCTGGAGTACAACAGCTAAAAGACAGTGCCCAGGCCTTGAGTTCAAGCCCCACGCACACGCACGCGCACGCACGCGCGCACGCACACACACACACACACACACACACACACACACACGACTGGCCAGGGAGAGGAATTGGGACTCCAGCCTTCAGCCCTGATCCTCCCCTCTGGGCCTCAGTTCTTCCCCAACGGAGAGGCCATCTGCACGGGCTCCGACGACGCTTCCTGCCGTCTGTTCGACCTGCGCGCTGACCAGGAGCTAACCACGTACGCCCACGAGAGCATCATCTGCGGCATCACGTCCGTGGCCTTCTCGCTGAGTGGCCGTCTGCTCTTTGCGGGCTATGATGACTTCAATTGCAACGTGTGGGACTCCATGAAGTGTGAGCGTGTGGGTAAGGGCCCCCTCCCTCCCTCCCAGTCTCCCCTCCTTTGATTTAGGGGGACCCTGTCATTGCTTTTTTCGGTGCCAGTCCTGAGGCTTGAACTCAAGGCCTGGGCGCTGTCCCTGAGCTTTTCTGCTCAAGGCTGGCGCTCTACCACTTGAGCCACAGCGCCACTTCCACCTTTTGCTGGTTCATGGAAGATAAGAGTCTCATGGACTTTCTTGCCTGCACTGACTGTGAGCCACGATCCTCAGATCTCAGCCTCCTGAGTAGCTGGGATTACAGGCGTGTGCACAGGTGCCCGGCTTTGCTGGTCGTTAATTACTAGATGAACTCCATCTCCAGACACCGCATTCTCAGACATCACCCCCGGAGCTCAAAGCAGGCTTTCTAGGAGCCTCGGGTTACCCCGGATTCTGGCATCACCACCAGATCTGTGGACCTTGCTCGGATTATACCAGATGCCTCAGGATGCTGGGGTACTGAGCAGACTCAAGGAGAGCTTTCTACCGGGCACGGCTGCTCCCACCTGTAATCCCAGCTACTCAGGAGGCTGAGATCTGAGGACTATGGTTCAAAGCCAGTTCGAGCAGGAATATCCGTGGGACGCCAGACTCTTTTTGTCTCACAGGACTTGGCTTGGAATCTTGATCCTCAGATCTCAGCCTCCTGGGTAGCTGGGATTACAGGCGTGAGCCACAGGACTCAGCTCTAACCCATGTCTTACACGGGCAAATTGGTTTCAAAGAGAAGTCCCTTCTCTTGTGGCTGGCCCTTTTTTCGGACCCTCAGGGGCCTCTGGGTGCTGAGGGCCACCAGCCCAGCCCCACACTCCAGCTGCTGCCATTTTTCCCTCCTCAGGCGTCCTCTCCGGCCATGACAACAGGGTCAGCTGTCTGGGGGTCACGGCCGACGGGATGGCTGTGGCCACTGGGTCCTGGGACAGCTTCCTCAAAATCTGGAACTGAGGAGGCTGGGAGCAAAGAGATCAAAAGCCAGGACGCCCTCTCTGGGATTTCTGTACAGCAGGGGGCAGAAATCCACCAAGCTGCTTTCTCTGGGGGAAGGACAGTAAGAAACCATCTTGGCTTATTTCCTCCTTGGCCTCTGGTCCCCGGGCCTCCTCTCCACTGGCCTCCCAGACTCTCCCATCAAGAGGCAGGACAATGCCGCTCTCCCAGGGCTCTGCGGGTGAAGTTCCCAGCCCCTAAGAATCTAGAATGTTCCCTGAGTCACGGCCTCTGTCTAGACTCATGAATAGGACTTGAGGCACCGCTAGGATCTTGATCCTCCTTTTTCCAACTTTTTTTTGTTTTTGGTCCTTTCTTTCCAAAAGGACCTGCCAATAAAATGTAGCACACACTGAGATTTCTGACATTTGGCTTCTGTTGTCTGCCCTCCCCCCCTCTCCCCCCCCAAACCCTAGAAGGTGTTGTGTGCAAGAGAGGGGGGCTGTGGGCAGAGAGAAAGGGGAATGAAGGAGGCCTGGCCTGAGAAAGGAGGCTGAGCCGAGCTGGGCCAAAAGTGTATTCAAGCCAGGGGATGGTAGCGCATGCCTATAATCCCAGCTACTCAGGAGGCTGAGATCTGAGGATCGCGGTTCCGAGCCAGCACTGGCCAGAAAGTCCATGAGACTCTCCTCTCTAATAAACCACCAGAAAACCAGAAGTGGCACTGTGGCTCAAGTGGTAGAGCACTCGCCTTGAGCTGAAGAGCTGAGGGACATCGCCCAGGCCCAGAGTTCAAGCCCCACGACCTTAGATCTCAACCTCCTGAGTAGTTGGGATTACAGGCGTGAGCCACTGGCACCTACAAAGGCCTGTTTTGGTTTTGTTTGTCAGTTGTGGTGCTTGAACTCAGGGCCTGGGCGCTGTCCCTCAGCAATTCAGCTCAAGGCTGGCGCTCTACCACTTCAGCCACAGCGCCACTTCTGGCTTTTTCTGCTTATGTGGTGCTGAGGAATCGAACCCAGGGCCTCATGCATGCGAGGCAAGCACTCTACCACTGAGCCTCCTTCTGAGCCCCAGGTCCATTTTATTAAAGCATCATTTTAAATGCCTTCTTTTAGGCTGAATGTGGGTGTGTGGCTCAAGTGCCAAGCCCTATAAGCACTAGGCCCTTCGTTCAAGCCCCAGCGCCACCAAACAATTCAAATCAAACGTAAAATAAATCACTTCCTTTAATATACAAGAAAAACAAGTCAATAAAACGCCAAGTCCCAGCGCAGGTCGTGGAGGAGGAATGAAAACCCAGCCTTTCCTCAGTCCATCCAGGAAAGAAAGAGGAAAAAATGATCCAGAAAAAAAAATCAGCAGATCCTAGGCAAACCCAGCCCAGGTGCTAGGCCAGGCCTAGCTCTCCACCAAAGCAAAATGCTGATTTTCCTTCTCATGCTCTTGGCTTTGCTCCCATGCACACCCTCCGCTTTTCAATCCTCGTCCGGTTCCGTTAGTTCCCAAAATGGTCGCTTCCTTTATATCCTTCACATTCTCACTTAGGGGAGAAGGGCGTTTACCCTGCAAAAGGTAGTAGATGAAGTCTGGCACTGGTGGCCCACACCTGTAGCTCACACCTGTAATCCCAGCTACTCAGGAGGCTGAGAGCTGAGGATCGAGGGCAGGAAAATCCATGAGACTATTTGTCTCCAATGAATCACCCAAAGCCAGAAGGGGAGCTGTGGCTCAAGTGGTAGAGTGCCAGCCTTGAGCGAAAAAGCTCAGAGACTGTGCCCAAGCCCTGAGTTCAAACACCATCACCAGCATAAAAAAAACCCATCAAACAAGAACACAAAACAGGCTGGGAAGGTGGCTTAGGGGTAGAGCACTTGCCTAGCATGCATGCATGAAGCCCTGGGTTCGATTCCTCAGTCCCACAGACACAGAAAAAGCCAGAAGTGGTGCTGTGGCTCAAGTGGTAGAGCGCCAGCCTTGAGCAAAAGAAGCTCAAGAGACAGCGCCCAGGCCAGGGGTTCAAGCCCCAGGACTGGCAACAACAAAAGCCTCCCCGCGCCCCCTCCCTGCCACCAGTTCAGTATCTTACTAGAAGCTTCCCCCGTCTCTCCCTTTACCTGTCTCGATGATGCCAGGGTCCCGGGGGAGTTGTCATCCCGCAGGATGGTCAGGGGAGATCTCCCCAGAACCTTCTTGTTTGGCCTCCGTCTACTGCGCTTAGAACCTAGAACAGGGAAGGGTTTTAAAGAAAAGATTCAAAATTGAGGGCGAATAGCCAGGTGCCAGCGCTCATGCCTATAATCCCAGCTACTCAGGAGGCTGAGATCTGAGGATCGAGGTTCTCAGTCAGCCTGGGCAGGAAAACTCTGAGAGACTTCGGATCTCCAATGAACCACCAGAAACAGCTGGAAGTAGAGTTGTGGCTCAAAGTGGTTGAGCAGAAGTAAAGAAAAAAGCTCAGAGACAGCACCCAGGCTGTGAGTTCAAGCCCCAGTACTGACACTGAAAAACTTAGAGCCTGGCTATTTATTCCTCTCATTCTCAGCCACAAACAGCATCCCTAGTCATCCCTCTAGATCTTGAACCTGAAGCCTGGGCCATCTCGTGGTCTCTGGCTGGCTTCTCTGAGCTCTGGCTGGCCGCAGGTGCTGCTGTGGGCTGTTTCTTCTCCTCCTTGGGAAAGTCCTGTTTGGAGGAATGCTCGGGTGGGTTGCAAGAGCCCATTTGGTCGGCTAGAGCTAGCTGAGCATCTCCAGGTGAGTCCACTTCAGAGGACGGAGGCTGTGGCGGAGGCTGGGGAGTGGAAGCATCAGTCTCAAAGATGTCGCTCAGCTGCCTCATCACTGGACTCTCAGGGTCTAGAGGAGAAGAGAGGCGTGATCAGTGGCTTTAATTTTTTTTTTATTTTTTTGGTGAGTGGTGGGACTTGAACTCAGGACCTGGGCGATCTGAGGATCGTGGTTCAAAGCCAGCCTGGGGAGGAAAGTCTGTGAGACTCTGATCTCCCATGAACCACCAGAAAACCGGAAGTGGTGCTGTGGCTCAAGGGGTAGAGCTCCAGCCTTGAGCAAGGGAGCTAAGGGACAGTGCACAGATCTTGAGTTCAAGCCCCAGTACTGGTGTACACACACACACACACACCAGTATGTAGGAGCCAGTCTCCAGAGCATCCCTTGGCCCCGCCCTTACCTACACTGCTGGTCTTCATAGGTGTCCGCGCGATGCCCAGTGTGGGAGAGCGGGGATCAGGGTCCTGAGCTTGCTTGGGGCTCACCAGCTGCTCTCCCGATGGTGTGCTTGGCTGTGGGGAGCTTTCCACCTGCCAGGATCACACAAAGCCAGAGTAGGTGTGCCCCCCCCCTCCCCTGGGACCTCCTAAGGCTCCTCCCACATTCAGCCAATCCCAGGCAGAAAATAAGGCTCTGTGTGTATATGTGTGTGTTGTAACTCATGCTCTAAAAATCCACCCAGGCCCAGTGGCTCACACCTGTCATCCTAGCTACACTCAGGAGGGTGAGATCAGAAGATCCTAGTTCAAAGCCATCCTGAGCAGACAAAGCCAAAAGGCTAGCTCCAAGGAGCCGGCAAAAAGCTCGAGGTGGAGCTGTGGCTCAAGTGGTAGAGCGCCAACCCCGAGTCACAAGGAAAGCTTTAAAGCTGGACGCAGGTGGCTCACACCTGGCATCCTAGCAACTCGGGAGGCTGAGATCTGAGGAGCCCAGTTCAAAGCCAGCCTGGGTAGCCATGAGCCTGATCTCCAGGGAACTTCCAGAAAACCGGAAGTGGAGCTGTGGCTCAAAGTGGTAGTACAGCCCTAAGCCTTGAGCACAAAGAGCCCAGGCCCTGAGTTCAAATTCGGACACACACACACACACACACACACAGACGTGTTCCAGTCCAAAACCCAAGATCGCAGGCAGCTTCCTGCCTCCCCTGGCCGGCGCGGGGCACCTGGATGGGCGTGCGCTGGATGCCGGCGCTGGGCGATCGAGGATCCGCCACTTGGGCCAGGTGCTTGTTGACCGGCGGAGGCCGCGCTGGAGTCACCGGGACGCTCTTGGCTGAGCCCATGTCCACGAGCAGCGGGGTAGGGCCGAGGCCCGCCGTGGGTCGACGCTGGCCACCCTGTGGGAAGCGACACGGGAGATGCCCCGTCACCGGCCTCCCCCGCCGCGTGTGCAGGGCGAACGACCCGTGACGATCTCCAACACGGCTCCTGCGGGGCCTGCGGGGCTTCCTCACTCTCCCATTCACTCGCTCCAGTCACTTACCGGGGGACCCCAGGAGCTGCCACCGAGCTCGAGCCCCAACTCCCGGAGTCCGAGTTTCAAACTTCCCGCCACGCCCCCTGCGCTCGTCTTATTGGCTGACCCCACGCCAGCGCTCATAGGTCCGTGGAGGAAGACCCGCCCCCCCCCACGCCGGAAGTCATTGGACTGGGAGGATGTCAATCACGGGCGGACGTGGGGCGTTTAGACCGCGGCTCGCGTGACGCCGCCGTGTCCCTCCGTGAGACGCGGAGGACTTTCGTTCGCGCTGCGTGCGTGAGGCTTCGGGAGACACCGCCACTGGGAATTATTACCGCTGCCGCGCACACCTCCGGCTGGAGACGGGAGTTCCGCTGGGTTTCCCGGAGGGAGAGATCTTAATCCTGATTCGTTGGCGGAGTTGTCCATCACTCAAACACACCTCAAGCCCCGCCCCGTCGGATGGCGCCTTTTCACATACCCAGAAAATGGGTCTTTTTGCTTATCTTTAATCCAATGGGTCGAGTCGCCAGGAAAGTTTCGAGAACCCAGAGGTTTTAAACAACAGTCACGTGACGGGACTAAGCGGGGGGCGGGGCTGGGGGCGTGTCGGGGTCCCAGCACCCGCAACTCCGACCACACCTGGTAACTCTACTTGCACGCTGGCCTCGGAAGCGCCTGATTGGTCCTTACGACCGTCACTTACACAGGGAGCGCTCTTCATTGGTGGGAACCAAGGTAGGGCAGGAGGCGGGGCGCTGGTCAGCAGGCTACGTCAACCGCCGTTCTCGCGCGTCTTGCCTTGGGCGCACGCGCCGAGCGAGCAGCCCTGATTGGACGGGAGAGCAGGGGTGGGAGGGGGACTGGGAACGGTGGGAGCCGCCGTGTGTGTGGAGAAGCTGCTGCCGGTGTCATGGCGGAGCTGAGTGAGGAGGCGCTGCTGTCAGTATTGCCGACGATCCGGGTCCCCAAGGCTGGAGACCGGGTCCACAAAGACGAGTGCGCCTTTTCCTTCGATACGCCGGTAAGCCCTTTCCCCATGCTCGCGGCGACCACGACTTCCTTCCATCGCCCTGGTCATTCTGCCGGGGCCTGCAAGGCTTGGGCCACCGCCTCCCCGCGATGCATCGTGGGACTTGTAGTCTCGCACGCTCCTTTGCTCCGTTGCTTCTCATTAGCCCGGACGTGGCGTGAGACTTGCTCTCCCGGGAGCCTCCGCGCCCTGCCGCGCCCGCTCGAATGTCGCGGCGCATTGTGGGGATTGTAGTCCCCCTCTGCCCTCGGTGCCATTCTAAGTTAGGGTTTGTCGCCCAGCCGGCGAACTACATCCCCCATGGGGACCCCGTGCAAAAACCTGGGAGCTGGCTTTGCCCGCCGCGCACGGCTCCCCGGGGTTTGTAGTCTGGCGTGGATGGAATGGGGGCGACTCCCCACTGTTCGGGGCCGGGGCTGGGGGTGGGGGTAGGGAGGAATGATGGAATGGGGGCTGCAGCTCCTAGTCTGGAAGTGGGCTGAGAACGAGACTGGATGGGAGAAAGATGGAGTTCGAGGGCCTCCACCCTGGGCTGAGATGGACCGGGGGTGGGGGTGGGGGGGCGGGGAGGGGGGTCGTCCGTGCTAGGGAGCGGTCATTTCTCCTCTGAAGTGGATTGTGATTGTGCACTCGTCTCCTCCTTTCCCCTTCGCGTCCATCAAGGTGACCGGGGTGGGGTGTGTCTGGGGGGGGGTTCCCCCTTTGGAAGTATTGCTAGAGAGATTTGATTTGATTTTTGAGGATGCTGAGCCGCCCTTTTCCCCATCCGGCTCCCACTCTTGTTTTAGACAAAAGCCACCGCCCACTCCCCGCTACACGCACCTCCCTCCCCGCAGCCCTGCTTCCCATTTCTCCCCCCCTCCCCCAAACAGGAGTCCCGTCTCCCCAGGCCTGCCCTGAGAGGGCTGGATTGGGACCCGCCCCCTCCCCACCCCTCCCCTCCCCTCCAGCTGGGCCCTGCCCCGGGTGCTCAAGCCAGACTCAAGCTCACCCCCACCGCCTGAAAACTGCAAGTCAGAGTGGAAAGTCTTCATGAATGCATCACCCCAGGCCGAGGTTAGCAGCCTGGTGTGGGACCCGGATTCAGGACTATCATTGTCATTTGTGGTTTGCTGGCCTTCCATCCCAGAGACGCAGACAGTGTGCTGGTGTGGTTTTTTTTTTTTTTTTTGTGGTGGTTGTTGTTTTGTTTTGGGCCGAGGTAAAAGAGGACCTGTGCCTCCAAGGTTTCAGATCCTTGATGAAACTCAACATCTAAGAGTTTAATCGCTGCCCCCCGTGCCTCTCTGGAGAGCAAGGTTTCCCTTCATGATCAGCAGAGGGTAGAAGTAGGTGGGTGTTGTTTTCTTTTCTTGCAAGGCCTGGGGCTTGAAATCTGAGCCTCATCCTGCCCCCTTGGCTTTTTCTGCTCATGGCTGATGCTCCAGCACTTGAGTCACACCTTTACACCGGCTTTTCGCTGGTGAATTGAACTTTTAAGGACTTCTGCCTGGAGCAGGCTTCAAACTGTGATCCTCAGATCTCAGCCTCCTGAGTAGGTAGGATTGTAGGTGTCAACCACCAAGCACACTGCACAAGTGGGTTTTTCTATGTCCACTTACTCCCCTCTGCCCCCGTTAATAACAGCTTTAAATAAAAAAAAAAAGATTGGTTTTTGTGTATGCCAACACAGGTCATTGAACTCAGCACCTCCAGTACACTGCCCCTGAGCTTTTTCACTCAAGGCTGGTGCTCTCCCACTTGAGCCACCCCCGGACTTCTGGCTTTTTGCTGCTTAGTCAAGAGATAAGATTTTTTTTCACAGATTTTCCTGCCTCGGGCTGGTTTTGAAATCTTGATCCTCAGATCGCAGCCTCTTGAATAGCTAAGGTGACCAGAGTAAGCCACAGGCTTCTGGCCAAAAAGCAGTTTTGTAACTTTCAGAGACTTTGTCTTTTTTGATGGCCTAGTTGCTTTGGGACAGACCTCCCCCCCCCACCCTCCCTGATTATCTTCAAATGCAGTTCATGGGAAGAAGAGGTTAGCTGAACTCCTGGTACCAACTGCTCTGCTTGTTCATGAGCGATGCAGCGGCAGGGAGGGCCACAGAGAGATCGATCCAGCCAAGAAGTGCTTTGCACAATGCTCTATTTTTAATATCACAGCAGAGAGAATTTCAAGGCCACTAAGGCTTTGATTCCAGGAAGAGGATGCCTGTTGCTCAAAGCCATGGATGTCAGGCCAATCTTACTGTCACCAATTCCCTGTCCCACGGTCCTGACTCTGTGACAAAGGCCCAGGTACAGGGCAGCTTTGGAGAGGGTCCATTTTCTCCTCTTGAGCTGATTCCTGGTGGGCGCTGACCTTTCCCTGTTCTTGGATTGTATGTGGGCCAGCCATCTCAGCAAATGTTTGCCAGATTGTTCTAAAAAGTCATCGCTTTAAGGTAGGTGAGATTTCAGTGAGCGGAGCGGCTGATGGGTTACTGGTGGGTTTAAAATGCTGGATTTGCCAGGCGCCGATAGCTCACACCTGTAATCCTGGCCATACTCAGGAGGCTGAGATCTGAGGATCGTGGTTCAAAGCCATTTCTGGGCAGGAAGATCTGCCAGAGACTGATCTCCAGTTAACCACAAAAAGCTGGAAGTAGAGCTGTGGCTCAAGTGGTAGAGCGCCAGCCTTGAGCACAGAAGCTCTTAGGGATGGGGTTCAAGACCCAGGATCAGAAAGAAAAAAATCTGACCTTAACTAGATGTTTATGGCTCAGTCCTGTAAATCCTAGTTACTTAGGAGGCTGAGATCTGAGGATTTCAATTCAAAGCCAGCCCACACAGAGACGGGAGACTCTTACCTTCAATTAACCATCACAAAGCTAGAGCTGGAGGTAAGGCTCAAGTAGTAGAGCGCCAGCTGTGATCGAAAAAACCGAGCAAGAGCACAAGAGCCTGAATTCAAGAACAGTACTCTCTTACACACACACACACACACAATCACAATGCTGAACTTCATGATTTTATCAGAGCAAGTTCAGGTTTATCTGTGAGCCCCAAACAAGGTTGCTTCTTAGAGCCAGATGCAGCAGGAGAGGAGGGGCGGGGTGGAGAGAAAGAGACAGGAGTCTGTGGACCAAGGCTCAGTTATCTCCTACAGTGTAGTAAGGAAAGATCTGGACTGTTGACATCTCAGCTTACGTGTATGGTTTTCCAGTGTAGTGCAGATATCTCTCATCTGGAAAGTTGTGTGTGTGTGTGTGTGTGTGTGTGTGTGTGTGTGTGTGTGTGTGTGTGTGTGTGTGTGTCCATGCTCCAGTCCTGGGGCTTGAACTCAGGGCCTGAGTGTTCTTGAGCTTTTTTTTCCTGAAGGCTGGCACTTGAGCCACAACTCCATGTCTGGCTTTTTTGTGGTTCACGGGAGAAAAGTCTCACACTTTCTTGCCCTGGCTGGCCTCAAACTGCGATCCTCATTGGTCAGCCTCCTCAATAGCGTGGCAGGCTTTCGGAATTCTAGAGATCAGATAGGATTTGTCTTAGGTGTCACTGATTTGGGAGGAGTTATGTGACTTTCGGGTCTTATCTTCATGATACGGGAAGGGTACAGTATTTTGTCTCCATTTACTTTCTGGATCTTTTGCCCCCTGTGTATTGGTGGCCTCTAAAGTCTTCCTCGAGAAGGAAGAAGCATGTTCTGGGAAGATGTTCTCAGAGTCTTCGGGAAATGGGAGAGAATGTCAGCCATCCCTGAAGCAGGTCCCCAAAGGCTGAATAAGTTCCGCCAGGGCCAGGCTGCACTGGAGAACATGAATGTTCTTTTGGAGAACCAGTCTGATTCCAGGTTGTTCATTTCCCCACTGGGCTGCATTTCATCCCCTCCTCCTCTTCCCTCCCTTCTTTCCTGCACTCCAGGAGTCCGATGGTGGTCTCTATATCTGCATGAACACGTTCCTGGGCTTCGGCAAGCAGTATGTGGAGAGACATTTCAACAAGACGGGGCAGCGCGTCTATCTGCACCTCCGGCGGACCCGGCGTGCGGTAGGATGCTCATTTTGAGTCTGACTGTCCATTGGTATCTTTTTTCTTTTTCTGGTTCTGGGCCTTGAACTCGGCCTGGGCGCTGTCCCTGAGCTGCTTTTTGCTTAAGGCTGGCGCTCTACCACTTGAGCCACAGCGCTACTTCCAGCTTTTCCCGAGTTGTTTATTGGAGAGAAGACTCTCATAAACTTTCCTGCCTGGCCTGGCTTTGAACCGCGATCAGATCTCAGCCTCTTGAGTAGCCAGGATGACCGAAATGAACTGCTGATGCCCAGCTCTTCACTCTCTCTCTCTGACAGTTCTGGGGCTTGAACTCAATGTCCAGCCATTGTCCTTGAGCTTGTTGGTAACAGCTGACACTGTTCCAACCACTTGAGCCACAGCCCCACTTCCAGCTTTTTTGCTGGTTCATTGGAGATCAGAATCTCAGACTTCTCTGTCCAGGCTGGCTTTGAACCATGATCCTCAGATCTCAGCCCCCTGAGCAGCTAGGTTGCAAGATGTGAGGCTGTGAGGCACTGGTGCCCGGCTCTTTCACCC